CAGCAGCACCCCACCGGGCCCAGGCAGTAACAGTGATGACAGAGGGAGGTGGTCACACTCAGTCGTCTGGAGGCCGGGGCCACACTAGACCCAGACACGGGCGCAAACGTGGGAAGGGGAAAAAACTGTCTGGACATCGAAGGCTCGGTCTTACAAGCTGCTGGAAGAGGAAACGTAGCACCAGACAATGAATTTTCAAAGAAGTCAGGGGAGAGGGGTTTGAGCTAAAAGGGACGAGACACATTCTCAAGAAAAATAAGGCCACTGCACGTTACAACCGTGTACGTCGAACGTAAGACCAAACAGCTGCCTACCAGATGCTGGAAGAATTAGCAAACCTCCCCACCCCCCGACCCCACGCACGTGCCCAAAACATGACGGAACTTTGAGTGAGAATGACAGCGAAGGGACACCTCCAAACAGGCAAACAAGGCATCTCGGGATGGCACCTGGAAAAGTCTATCCGGCAAAAGTTGTTGTGGAAGTCTCTTTAGTTTCTTCCTCTTCTTTAGTTTAAAGAAACTAAAACAGGATACTCTGGGGAGGAAGCACTTTGCATCTTTCCAAGAGAGGCTTTGTGGTAAAAGTCTTCTTTCACTCAGAGAAGCAAAAGGCTCTCAGTCCAGGTCCTTAAAGTGAACAGTCCACACTGAAGAGGCCGCCGCGCCAGGGATTTTAGGACCCGGCGCCTCCTTCGCTGGCCAGCCCTGGGCTGCGACCAGCTCTCTCGCAGGCAACACACACACCGGCCCATGCAGGCAGGGGAGGCTCCCTGTAAGAAACTCGGGCACCCTAACGTCCCCATTCTTTGGGGGCGGGTGCCAAGGTGAGGACAGCGTGGTGGCGGAGGCTGCGGGTCCCGGGGGACTGGAGAGGAAAGGGGTTCTCATTGGCCCTTCCGTGGGCTCTGGGCTTGCCTCCCTTTATGTCCTTTCAGGGTAAGGAACGCAGTCCCATGAGTCGTTCTCCCCTGTTGGACTCTGCTTTTGGAGTAAGACACCTGAGACCAAACCAGGGCAGCATTAATGTCAACTAAATATCAGCTGAGCAGCCCTGGCTCGGGGATTCTGCCTGTGGAGGCTTCCAGAAAACTGCTGCAGGCTCGGCTTTCCTGCAGCAGGAGGGAGAGGCCCAGCGGCTCAGGGCAGCGCCGCGAACAAAAGCACGCTGGGAGAGTGATTGACTGCCTGACCCACGCAGCGGGCAGAGGCAGGGCTGGAGAAGGCTGCAGAGGAAGGCAGAGAGGACTGGAGATTCTGAACAAAGGAAAGCCCGGGAGGGAGGCTTTGGCTGAGTGGAGATTCCCGTGGCCCTGGGAGAGAGAACCACAAGGCTTTGGCTGAGTGGAGACCCCCGCAGCCATTGTGCAGAGAGGACCATGCGGCTAGGGCAGTGGAGAGAGAACCTCGCGACTTTGCCAGAGTGGGGACCCCCGCAGCTTTAGAAGGGGGAACCACCACCCGGCTTTAGCAGAGATCCTGGCGACACAGCTGGTGGTGCCGGGAACCGAGGGAGGCCTACCAGCTGAGACAGACCACTGGGAAGAACTGGGGGCTGCCTGAGCCACGGACTTCTATTTCTTTTCCTGAGATACAGTACCCCAGACTGGGCAAAGGGGGAAGGACTGTCTGTGTTTGTGGGTGTTTTAAGGGCCTTTGGGATTTTGACGAAGACATTAGGTCACTACTTTAAGTCTGTATAGCATTAAACATTTCCTTTCAAGAATCTCTGGCATTGAGAGATGTCTTTCCTCTGGCGGCAGACATAACAAACCTGGTGGGGGGGGGGGGTCTTTTCGGGTAATAGTGTATCACCCTTGGCCCCCCCCCTTGTTCTTCTGTAACAGCATGGCACTTCTCATGGCCCACCAGCAAGAGTCCCTTCACTCCCTTCCTTCCCACATCTCTCCTGCATTCTTCCAAACTGCTAAGAGAGAGCTCTGCATCGCTGCTACATTTTGCTTTCCAGCTTCCTAAGCTGTGTGACAAAGGCAGCCCCAAAGCCATGTGGCTCTTCTGGTCACAGCTGCCGTGCCTGTGTTTAAATCCCAGGGCCAGTCTTCCTCTGCAGCCCCATTTCCGACTCCTTCCACAATCGGCTACACCTGCCAGCATTCCAGTACTTTTCCAGCTTTTCTGGACTGCCATAGTACATCTGGGCAAGCGTGGCCCTGTGGTGTGGAGCCAATCATCTCCAAGCTCTTATGAAGGCTCTGTAACCAGGGGGAGTTGCCTCCCAGTTACATCCTGGGTGGAAGTCACTCCCATCTCCCTGGCTCAAAGCACGGCCACAGCTGTTTAACATATCCATAAAACCAGTTAAAGGCTATAGATGTGTTAAATGACCATTCTAGGTTATCTGCAAAACTGTTGCTGTGCAAAACAGCTCTCAATGGCCCTGCTCCATGTGTCCCATCCCCCAGCTCAGACTTGTGGGAGTGAGGACATCCTGTATTGTCTTTTTTTTTTAGTTTTTTTTCAAGATTTTATTTTTAGAGAGGGAAGGGAGGGAGAAAGAGAGAGAAACATCAATGTGCAGTTGCTAGGGACTGTGGCCTGCAACCCAGGCACGTGCTCTGACTGGGAATCGAACCTGCAATGCTTTGGTTCACAGCCTGTGCTCAATCCACTGAGCTACGCCAGCCAGGCCTTGGTATGCGGTCAATTTTTGATGGGCTCAGTTTAGAGGTGAAATACCAGAAGACACTGACAACCTGTTGACAGTACAGACATATCAAGGAGGTATGTCGGCTGTTGGTCCATCCAATGCTTTGCAGGGAGATGGGCAACAGCAGGAATGCCCCGTCGGCAGCTCCGCTCGCAAAGGAGCTGAGTTCTGCCCCCCGCCCCCCGGGACCCAGCCCTGGCGAACAGACCCAAACTTACCCAGAATGCCGACTGACTAAGTTACAGTGAGAACTGTAACTTGAAAGAAAACCGCAACACTCAGTGTCTGCAGATCAACTCATCGTCCTCCCAAGGTGGAAAAATCTACAGGGGAAACCACTGGAGTGTTGCTTGGTACACACTGGTGGTACAGCGCTAAGGGGTTCAGATGCCTCGAGTCATAAAAACCTAGAACAATGGTAAAGACCAGTCATCCGGGTTTTCCGCGACAGGGCTGACCTCCAGGGCTCTGCTTACAGGCGGAACCTATGTGGTGAGTTACTACTGAGAACATACGATCGCCCCTGCCCAGATGTGGTATCTTTTCTCCGATTTCATTTTTGAAGCTCTATGTAGATGATACCTTTCCAATAACATACATAGTCTGTCCAGAAGGTATCCAGCCACGTAATATGTGAGATATTTACTGACCAAGATGCAAGATACAAGAAACAGTGTGCAGAGAACAATGACACCTCAGTCCCCTTCAAAGTGGACACCCTGAGACCTCAGTTTCCCAGTTGCCATCAGCTGCCCTGTCGTATTTCCCTGAACCTCACTGACAATCTGAAGTCCCTTCAAAGGTGACTTTAGTTTTGGGAAAAGCCAGAAGTCACAGGGCACCAAATCTGGGCTGTGAGGGGCCGAGTCGCCTGGGTGATTTGATGTTTCACCAAAAACTCGGCGTGAGACGTGATGCATGAGTGGGTGCGTTGTCGTGATGAAGCTGCCGATCACCAGCTGCCCACAGCTGCGGGCTTCTGAGTCATGTGAATAGTTTCCATGGAGGAATGTTCAAGCATAACACAAAAGTTGATGCATATTCGTGGTTCTACTCACTCAGTCATTTTGAATGTGACAGCCACACAGTACACAGGCTCACTCCACAGCATCTACCGCCCCCACTGAGTAGTACAGTGAAGTCATCACTGTTCACACATGCACACTCCAGTCCCCTCTCCTTGCCTGCCAGGTTACATCAATGTTGCACATACCGTCCTTGTCATGTTAACAATGGCTGGACTTTCCCCGGACAAACCTCGAACTTAGCTCAAAACCCAACAGAAGTTGTGTAGTTTCCATTTACTGAAACCACACTCTGGTTCTGAGACTCAGGAAATGCACAGTCTGTCAGGCCGGGAATGCAGTTTCCTCCCGCTGTGCGCCGCACTGACGGACCCGGCCTGGGCCATCATCTTCATCAGCTTCACGACGACGGGTCTCGGACCTTCGATTTCGGACGCTGAGAATTTTCATGTCTGTCCCAAACTGGGCATGAAACCAGAATAACTAGAGACTTGACTCCCCTCATCCGGGGGAAATGAGGGCACTAATCCAGACTAGCAGCTGGTTTCCAGGTCGGGGTGAGCTGTTTCTGGGGGAAAGGGAAGGGAGGGAGGGAGGAAGCTTTATTCAGCAGCTATAGGCTCATCTAGTTCATGTACTGAGATTCGATGCAAGTTTCACTTGAAAAAGGGTTTTGCTGCTTTTTCAAAGTGTGTAAACCACTGATATAAAATGGTTTTCCAAGGTCTCAACCAAGTGGTAAATTATATTTTCGTTTTCAAAATTCTTTTTTTTTAAAGATTTCATTTATTTATTTTTAGAGAGGGAAGGGAGGGAGGCGGAGAGAGAGAGAGAGAGAGAGAGAAACATCAATGTGTGGTTGCTGGGGGTCATGGTCTGCAACCCAGACATGTGCCCTGACTGGGAATCGAACCTGCAACACTTTGGTTCGCAGCCCGAGCTCAATCCACTGAGCTACGCCAGCCAGGGCCTCAAAATTCTTTTATCCACCAAACGTGTGGGAAGTGCCCACTACGGGACAAGACTCTGCACGGCACGCCAGTTCCGACAGCAGACACTGTGCTAACAGAAGCTCCGCCCTCCGGGGCCCTGCGGCTGGTTTTCGCAGGAAATTGAAGAGTGACATAAATATCACAGGCAGAGTCGCCAAGAAATTCTATTTTACATTTTCTCGTTGTTAAAATAAAATCACAGGGTTTCCTGAAACTCAGCTGGCACACCTTTCTTCCGTGGACACTGCTTTAGGTGTTCCTTCTCCTCTGCCCGATCCTCAGAAGACAGGCTGAATAATGCAGACAAAACCAGCTGTAATTTGCAAAATCACACTAGATTTTATTAAAATATACATAAATAACCCTCATTTTTCTGCATGTCATCGGTGTGGGGAAGCCGAGTGGAGGAGGAAGGAAAAGCGGGCACATTGGACCAAGAACCGAAGGTGGAGGGAGGCAGGGAGACTGCAGCCTGGCGCGGCCCGCCGCCAGCAGCCCGAGAACGCCCCTGAGCGGCGTGCGCTCAGCTCCACACCGAGGTGCGTGGAATACACGTTGTCCGGGGTCGACGGCAGCCCTGAAATTCTGCTGTCCTAATTCCATCATTAGAAGCAAATACTATGTATTACCTGCATATAGCACGTACTCACAGTGAAAAGTAAAGAAATGGAGAATTCACAGGAATACTTTCAAGGAAGACAAGAGAAACAGAAGTTTGCTGCTTAAAAAAATGCACTGATGTTACTTTTTATTCACACTAATTAGAATATATACACAAAAATGTGTATCATATGTTGCTTTCAAAAAATTCTATGTCCCATGAGAACTATGTAAACAGTGTAAAATGTTTCTACTGCATAACAAAAGAAGAAAAATCAGCATTCCCATGTAGTATTAGGAAAATAGTTAAGATAATTTGAAGATATAGTAAAACAAAATGAAGTATTACAGAACAGTCTTTTCATGACGCAGATTCATGGTCCAGAAGCAATACATTTCATACTTTCGAATACTTTGGTGTCAGTGAAATTAATTCATACAAAGCAAAAAAGACCACAGACCATGAAATCTCTAGTTTGGCTCTCACATTAACTGGAACTGCAGCGATGAGGCGACCTTGCAGCCGCCCCCCAGAACCCCGAGGGAACCCTCCCCCGTGTCCCGTCCCCCCCCAGTGGCGGCGGGTGTGCTGCGGGGAGAGCTGCCGAGGGCTCCTGTGTGCCCCCTTCCCCAGCCAAGCGCCGGGCGACGGCTCCCAAGGCTCCACGCAAACTCCGCTTCAACTTGGAGTATAAACGATCTCGGTGACTGCCTCTTAACAAACACAAATGACCCTACAGTAAAGCATCTCAGAACAATTCACGTTTAAAGTAGAACATACATTTTTTAAATCATATTTCTATAGTTCCTCAAGAAATCCATACTCGAATAAAAGAACATACTACAACAAAAAATGCAAGCTTAACGGGACTGACCATGGGTTTCTGAGAAACGGAAACAGCCATGTGCACGCCACAGATCCCTCTGCAGCACACATGGCTCTGACGACTGTGCCGCCAGCGGATGGGAGGGATGTCTCCCTGCGTCATTCTGGTGGTTACGCTTTCTCATCTACACCGTCAGAACGTGGCGCTGTTTCCGCTGTCTTTTTGTTCTGTGTTTTCTTCCCCACGAGTCCCCGCATCTGAGAACTACATCTGCGCAACTGTCAATGCATCACTTCTGTCACCCAGCACAGGAGCGAACTGGGAATGTCCTCTGAGGATTTTCTCGGCAATGACATTTACACTGTGACTTTCCGGAGAGACAAGGAAGTCCTTAAAGGAGAAGAAGAATCCGTGGTGAACTTCACGAGCTCACAGTAATAAAACAGTAACGCACTGCCGCTCCTTCCGGAACCAGAAGAGCATGCTGCCCGTACTGTGAAGTGCCCCCGGACAGCACGGGCCGGAGCGCCAGCCCTCGCACGGGCCCTGGGCAGGGAGGGGACGCAAGTGCAGCCAGGGCGGCACCGTGAGGCTAACTAGCAGGACGTCTTCATAAGGCAGTGAGTGGAGCAAGTAAAAGAAAGCTCTTGACAGGTTAATCTGGGGCCTTTTGAAGAACAGGAATAGAGAGGAGTAAATGAGATGAACGTGAAAGAATTCAGCAAACCGATCTGTGCTTGAGTGAACCATGTGTGGAAGAACTGTTGGTATTTTAAGTTAATTACTTTATAGTATCAGGAGTGTATTAGGAACTTAAATTCTTGCCTAAACTTTACAACAAAGTATATGAAGAAATAAAACAATGAACAGTGAGCAAACTAACTGTGCATGGTTCTTACTTTTTCATATTAGGTAATATTAAAGTTTGAGGACTGTGTAGTTTAGAGTTTTGTTCGTTTTGTGGGCAGAACCTCTTGGGGAACTTAAATCATTTCAAAATTCATTTGGAATAATTGCCAAGACTATCAGCTACTGATAACCTGTACTGTCAGAGAGTAAAAACTATGAAGTTACAGCAAAACACCATACTTCAGTGAATCTAATGCATCATTATTTTATACACCATGCAAAGAAAAGATGCCCAGGATAGGAAATCTAAAAGGAGACAGAGGCCTTCACAAAAAGTGAGGAAATCGAATGGCTACAACCTCAACGAAGGGTAAAAAAATAACCCTTCCCACAGAAGGGATGACAAAGAAGTTTTTATACCTCCTCCTTAATTATGGGAAGAGGGGAAAATTTCCTTGGTATTTGAATTGATACACCCACCCTGTCCCGCCTGCAAATTTTGTGGTCTAAGTTCACACCACCAGCACAGTCCAACAAAATCTCAGAGAAATGAGCTCAGGTAGACTCAGGTCGGCAGTGCCCCCCAGTGACCGGCCGCAGAACTGCAAACCACGCTGGGAAGAGCTCAACTTCAGGCAACAGCTGATTTCAAGATGCATTCCAATTTTAAAGATTCTAAAATGTGAAAAATATATAATTTGAAGTCAGTGAAATATGGCAGACAGATAAGTAAGTTAATAAACAGATGCAGAAAGACTAGAACACAAATATTGGGTATATGCTAAAAAATGTCGAACAATAATAGCACATTACAAAAACATTAAGTCAATGACAAAAAAGTACATTACTCAAAATACGGCACAGGCAAAAAAGGTTATTTAGGAAAAAAGTTAAATCCTTCTCTAAACCATATTCTTCTAACTATAAAGTCAAATGAAAACACCATTTAAGAAATTAAACAAATAAATATCATTAAGTAATAATCTTAAAATTTTGGCCTACTTATTTTAAAACTGTGCTCTCTACCCCTACCCCGCAAAAATATCCAAAGCATTAGCAAAAATAAATGGCAAGTGTCAAACTGAAAGCAAATACATTTGCAATGGCAAAAGGTCATTATCCCTAAATACCACAATTATGAAGGAGTAAGAAACAAAAATACCCCACCCCACACATCCGGAAAAATGAGCAAGTCAAGAATAGGCAAATTGACAAAACGATAAACACAAATGGCCAAATAAATACACCAAAAAAAAAAAGGTCAGTTTCACCAGTAATGAAAACATAAAAGAAAACAATTATGTAACAATTCCTATCAGGCTGGCAAAGTTTTAAACAACGACTGCGCTCAGTGTCGGCAAGGGCGCAGAACAGCCAGCACATATACTCATGACAGATGTAAAAATGGAGTCCCCCTCTCTGAAATGTCATTTAGCGATAAGTGTAAATCAAAAAGCCTTTTAAAATGTGCAATATGCTTAGATCTACAATCCTGCTTCTAAAGCAATTTATCCCAGGCAGTCAGAAATGTATGCACAACACAACAGAATTATTTATAACAGTGAAAATTGGGAAAATCACCTAAACACCCAACAATGTATTTTAGCAAATAAAACAACAAAATGGAATACAATGCAGCTACTAAATACCATGTATCACTGAAGCACTGTTTAGACTAGTCAAAGGATAATGCAAACACCTATCATGAAGGAACAGGTTATACAGATTAGTTTAGCGGCAGTGGAATACTATACTGCCATCAAAACGAAAAAGGCTGCTCTTATGTTATGATAGAGTCTTCTCTCTCCCTGAAATACCTTCTTCCCAAGATACCCACCTGGCACTTAATCAAATGACACTTTATTTGTTGTGTCCACCTTACATACAAAGGCACTGCCTCCCACCCTTACCCTACTGACCTACTTATAACTGTCGGACACAATCCACCTGTTTACCCACTGTCTGTCCTCCCGCAAGGGAAAGAGGGTCCCTGAGGGCAGCGACGTGTGTGGCCCACTGCTGCACCCCCGCTGTGGGCACAGCACCTGGCACTTAGTACCGCATTCATCAGATGCTGGCGGATATGGAAAAGTCTCCAAGATACAGAGGTAATAACGCTTTGTCTGTTTAGCTATTATTTGCCTTTTAAAAAGGAACAAAAATCGTGTGTGTGTGTGTGTGTGTGTGTGTGTGTGTGTGTGTGAGAACACATCCTCAGACCATCGATGGCCCCTGGGAAGGAAAACAGGGGGAGATCCTTCACTTCTGTCACTTAAAAGCTGAACAAACTTAAGTATAACTCCCTCGGAAAAACCAGTAAAAGCATAAACATATTCGCTAATACACACTGTAGACTGTGGAAAAATTACACAGTATATTCTTAAGTGGAGAAAACAGGCTACAAAATAACAAATAATATAAAATATGTGAAACTTAGAAGGATTAACTTCTAACATTTTTAATTGGCAAGATTATAGGTGATTTCTGTTGCTTCTTATTCTTTTCTGAATTTTCTAACGTTTCTGTATGAGGCACTATTATTTTATAATTTTTAAGTTGCTTTTAAACACAGAGCATTTGCTTAGCAGAGTGTGACAGCACCCACCCTGGACCCCAGGACACGGTGCCGCACCGCCCTGCCTCAGGGGTCCCCACTTCGAGCAGCGTGCCCTCTCCTGCGGCTCTCCGACCTCTCCCCGCCACCGGCCTCTCACCGTCCTCACCCTCCATCACTGCTTCCCTGCCCTTGTCTTTCCTTTCCCGTCTCCCCCAGCGAAACCGCAGTCTGGTGAAACCAAGTATCTGCTCACTCTGAATGTCACCGAAGCAGCGGCACGTGGCCGGAAAAAAGCCAGGCAATTGTGATCACTGTATTCACCCCAAATCTTTGACCAGAATATCGAACGAGCATTCCTTCAAGCCGGCCATCCAACCCCACCACGCATGGCCGGCCTACCCCTTTCCCCCCTCTCTGAGACGGGCCTCTCTCCGCCCCTCTCCCCCGGCCCCTCAGGCTCTGCACTGGCCGCCCTCCCCCCCACCCCACACTCCCAAGAAGAAGTTGAGGTGACCAGAGAAGCCCCTCTTCCCACCAGCGATTTCACCCCCCAGCCCCAGCGGTGCCCGCGCCTGTCTGCCTTCCTCTGGCACCACGTGACGATGCACCCCGGCTCCTCTTGCAGGGCTGAGCCCCGCAGGCTGCCCTGGCCCCATCCCACTGCCTTTCCGAGTGGGTTCTCCAACAACTACCCCTTCTTGCTCTCGAATTACCAGTTTCCCTCCACACCGAGTCCCTGCCACTAGTAAACAAACACACCCGAGTGTCACCCACGTCCCCGTCTCACTCCTGTGACCCTTCCCAGCACAACTCTTTCCTCCCTGGTCCTTCACCTCACCTCAGTCCGCTCTCCCTCTGCTCAAGGTCACCAGTGATGGACGTCCAAGCCCTCTGCAAGACAACGGCACATTCTTGGTCCTCCTCTCACTGGCCCCCTCAGCAGCGTGTGCCGTGGTCGCCAGGCTCCCCCGGAGGTGGCCCTCTCTGGGCTGCCCCGAGATCACAGAGCCCTGGACTGCCTTTCCTGTCCCCGGCTCCTCCCCCTCCGCAGAGCCCTCTCTCTTCCCCACACGCTCCTCCTAACAGGTGGTCTCACCCAGTCTGCGCCTTCATAAGGCAGCTACACGCTGATGAGTCTACAGGTGTTATTCTCAGCTCCGAGCTTTCTTCTGTGCTTCAGGCCAACTGCTGGCTGAGCAGAGCAGAACTACTGATTTCTCATCCCGCGCAGCACCCCCAACACCCTCCAGAAGCCCTCCCTGGAAAAGGTACCACCATCTACCCAGCTGCTCACATCAAAACCCCAAGAACAATATTCCGCAAAGAACTGGTCAGTAAGTCCTGAACAACTCTGTCTCCAAAAGGGATCTGAACTGAACCCCTTGGACCATCCCTACCACTACACCCCTAGTCAGAGTCTGCCTTCCTCCGTCCTGACCCAACACTCCACCCTCCAACCCACACCCAGAGCAAGTTTCTCAAGTAGAAACCCAATCGTGTCACTTCTTAAAGACCCCCAATGCGTCCATTTCACCCACTTAGAGTAAAATGCAAGTGTGTTACCAGTCCCCTCCTAACCACGCCCACTGCGTCTGACTCCCGCCCCCGCCCCCTTCCCTTATTACCCTCTGGCTAGCCTGTCCCTCACACCTGACCCTCACACCTGACCCTCACGCCTGAGGCATCTGTTCCCATCTCATGACCTTTGCAGCTGCTCTTCTTGCTCTTCCCCTTATCTCCAGACGGCCACCCTTCTTCCCATTGTTCAAACTTCAATTCAAGGGTCATTAGGTCAGCAAGGCCTTCCCCAGAAGCCACCCGGTCACTCTCCACATCCTATCTTACTTTTTATCTGTTGGCATCACCCAACCAATGAACCCTTCCTGTTACAAAATGAAAGTAAACCTCTATTTGTTTAAGGAATTTTGACTTAGGTTCTGTTATCTACAACCAAAGAAATTCCTAACTAATGTTCCTGATAATCTATTTTTAAAAGAAACTGAAATTAAAAGAACTCAAATTCTATGCAGAATTAGAAGATCACAAGTCAGAAATGTACACTGTTTACTAATTCCCTTCCTTTGCCATCTAGTCTAAATTTTTAAATAAAAAAGCACCCAGAGGAAACAGAAACAAGAAGAAATTATGGTCAACTCCATAAACAGGACTTCAGAATGAAGCATTCAGCATCTACACACACAACACAGGTAAACTCACACAGGGAGACTGACTTCATTCAGACTCTGCACACACAACACAGGTAAACTCACACAGGGAGACTGAAGTCCAGTCAATGCTGGGGCTGTTCGGGGCTAATGTCCATTGTTCGATAAATTTCTTTAAGCAATAACAGGGCAGTATCTTCAGATTCCCTATCAAAAAAAAAAAAAGTACATTTACTTAAAAGACAGTTAGTAGAAATTAATCTCTATGCTTAACGATGGGAAACGCAGCTTTTGCCGCACCCAGCTCCACCCAAGGGCGAATGCAATGACAGCAGCGTAACCTCGAAGCTGCCCTTACAGAGTGGACGGAGACCCCCAGCTCCGGAACAAGCACGCTGCACCCTCCTGAGTGAGGGGCACACGGAGGGATGGCTCTTCTGAGCCCCCCCGCCCCCCGTTCTGTGACAGGCATCCCTGCGAAAGCAGTGCGCGAATGTCAAGGGCCGCGGTCCAAGGCAGATGACTCACTGCCGTCTTGTGAGTGGCTCAACTAAACAAGGGCAACACTGACTTGGAACATGTGGGCGTTCGAGTTAACACTGCACAGCATGACAGACCCGCCAGAGGGCCTCGCTAGAACCGACACTGCCTCCCGTGCCAGCACCTCGAGGCCACGTGAACGTTACCAGAGGCGAAAACACTCACCAGTAGCATAAGTGACTCTGAAGAGCGAAAAGATACTCATTAAAGCTCTCTATTGGCTTTTCCTGAAGAACGTAGTCAATGCGGCGGCCTCCGTTTAGCATTCCAACCTTCCCTAAGTAGTCCTCATCCTTGGAAAAATCTGGGCTTTCAACAATCTTTTCTGCTAGAATTTAAACCATTTCAACATCAAAGTCAATCACATGATCACTTTCCTTTGACTTTAGCTGACTTACTGGGCTCAACGAGAACACTGCTTGACACACGCAGCACCCCGGGGAGCTGCCAGGCTCGTTCCCTTTCCTCCAGAGAGCCGGGGAAGGGGCTGGTCGCCCCAGAGAGGGGAGAACGAGCCACGGAGTGGACAGGGGTTTGGAAGAAAAGGGGTGAGAGAGCGTTGCAGAGAGAAAAGAAACAGAATTAGAATCTGAAAAAATCACGCACACCACGGCACAGCGACCTGACATTGCAGTCAAGTCCATAGCAACACAGTTAAACAGCAGCGTCAGAAAAGATCATTTCCCAGCGTAGGTGTTCCAGTGTCTGAATACAAGCCTGGTTCTCACTCTGATGTTACACTCTGGCCTTAGGAATCTCAGTAAAATTTTAACATTGCAGAGTAAAAACGTTCAGCGACTGCCAGGCAGAATCAGGTAGTTGCAAAAGGGACGACACATTCTGAAGTATAATTTATCGTAAAAGATTTTCCTTTATAGGAAGAGTCTTTACATTTTAACGAAAAAGACTAGAGGACAAACATCATTAAACTATTTATGTGTTCTGTTGACAAGGAACATTCGGAAGCAGTGGAAAAGGCCTCAAGTATCAGATTTACCTTCAACGACTCGCTTCTCCTCTTCTTCCTCGATCTGATGGGCCACCTTCTCCAGTTCCTCTTGCAACTGAGCGGAAGAGGTGTGGGCACGAGCAAACTCGTTTAACGTCTGCCACGCGCTTTTCAGAGAGCTGATGAAGCCCTGCTTCAAATCGGAGCCCATGCGGGAGAGGCTTTCTTTCAGCTCTGAAGAGGTTAAAGCCACACACCGAGGTATTATTAGCCGGCGGGTAAAGTTCTGCACCAGGAAAATGAGAAGTTCGCATGCTTCTCAAGGAGGCGACCCCCCTCAGTGCTCCCCTAAACGCCAGGCACACGGAGCATCTCGGCGAAACCCTCAACACGTTAAAATGTTCTGAGGAGTCTCCCCCCTCTCATTCTTGTAATGACTAAACTTGACGCAACCACACCTGTACATCTGCTCCCCCCAAAAAGAGTTCAATGCCATAAAGAAGTCATTAAACACATGCATGTGATTTTTTCTCACTGTAAGTCAAAAAGTAGACCCCCCAAATTAAAAAGATGCCTTTTTCTAATCTGTAATAGTGAAATGATTTCGAAAATGTGAAAAGCACAATTAAACTTCTAATTTAAAAATGAAGAAACTGCTACCCTTTCACCTTTTCTACTGTTGTCTAATAATTCCTATTTGAAATCAAGGTCTTTGAATAGCAAATTTCTCATTTTAACTCCAAAGAGTTAAACATTTTTTAACAGCATCATAAAAACAAAGTAAATAAAGGAAAAAACTTTTCAATAAGAGGGCATGATCACTTTTCCTTCTTTTAAACCTGCAGATAAGTAATATACGTCATTAATAGACATAAGAAAAACTTAAACCCCACTTAGAATTATTATCAATCCATATGTTAAATGAGTTTATTTAAAGGAAAAGTCTGTCCAGTTAGCAAGGAAATTTTTAAAAGCCCTTTTGACTTCAAAAACATCAAACTTACTTTCTGATGGTTTGGTCAGTTCAAATGTTACTCTGCTTCTCAATTCCCAAAATTTTAAGCACATTCTATCAAAATCTACAAGGTCTGTCCAGAAAAACTCCAACTATTGTTAATACAATGAGAACGGTTTGCAAGACACTGATGAACCTGGCAGCCAAGGAGCGTGGACTGGAATGCACATGCATGAACAATGAGGACTTCACTGTACTAGTCAGTAGGGGCGGTAGATGCTGTCGAGTGAGCATGTGTACTGTGTAGCCATTGCATTCAAAATGACTGAGAGAGTAGAGCAATAAATCTGCATCAAATTTTGCATTAAGCTTGAACATTCTTCTGCGGAAACTATTCAGATGATTCAGAAGGCCACAGCTACGGGCAACTGGTGACTAGCAACTTCATCACGACAACGTACCCACTCATGCATCACATCTGGTGCCGTTTTTTGGCAAAACATCAAGTCACTCAGGTGATTCAGCCCCCGCTCCAGCCCAGGTTTGACACCCAGTGACTTCTGGCTCTTCCCCAAACTAATCACCTTTGACAGGGAAGAGATTTCAGACCATGGATGAAATTCAGGAAAATACAATGAAGCAGCTGATGGCAATTGGGAGAACTGTGTGAGGTTGATCCCTACTTTGAAGGGGTCTGAGGCGTCATTGTCCTGTGTACAATGTTTCTTGTATTTTGTTCAATAAATGTCTCTATTTTTCATAGCACATGGCCGGATACTTTCTGTACAGACCTCATAGGTACCACATCACTTTACTACCATCTTCCCCTCATTCCTAAATATTTCAGCAATTGGAATGTCATCAAGGATAAAGTCATCAAGGAGAAGAACTCAGTCATAACTTGCTTTACAGCTTTTCCAAATATTTAGTAAACAAGCTCTAAACACAGTGGGCACTTAACATTAACTCTGTAAGAAAGGACTTAGTGTTAAAATTTTTGTAACTCATTACAAATGACAGATTAAAAAACAACAAGGAAACAAGTTTATAATATTTGCTTTTTACCTAAATGAAGCCTTTTTCTGCCTTTGTGATGCGGAATGAGAACGGCTGTCAGGTCCAAATCTGGAGCAATCATGGGTTCTAGTCTGTACGCCACTGGGTCGAGCTATACATAGAAGAATTAAAGTTTATGAAAAGCTAGTTTATTTTGAGAGTTACATACCTTAGTTGGGCAAAAAAACAAAGACTGGCAAACCAGATATTTTGATTTTTTTTACACCTATTCAAATATTGGTAACTATAAGAAGACTTTCAAGTTTGTGGGTAAAATAACTGAATTCGCTTGAAGAAAAGCTTTTTGGCGGAAAAGGCTGGAACACGCCGCACTGCACCTACGGGGACCGAGAGCCGGGCTGCAGGAGATCCAGGCCAGCAGCAACTCCTGAAGGGGCAGGATGAAGGGCGCAGGCTCTGCCCCTTCTTCGCAGCAGGAAGCTAGCTCTGCTCACTCACCGGATGGTAAATGTTGAAGAACCCTTTGCAGGTGGGAAGTCTGTAGCTCTCCTCTATCCGATCCACTCCTCGAATAGTGAGAAACACACCAATTGGAGACCCCAAGGCAAAGAAAATCTCTGGTTCAAAGTCTAATGGGCTGTAAACGACAGAAACCTAGAAAGAACCAAAGAGCAATAAACGATGATCATTCCAATGATCATGAGTTGAAAATATCTTGAATGAAAAATACATTAAATACAGAACATCACAGCTTAGCACGGCCTTCCTTAAACATGTTTCAAACACTTACATGAGCCTACAGCTGGCCAAAATCATCTAACACAAAGCCTGTTTTACAATGAAGTGTTGAATATCTCATGTGATTTATGTGAAAACACAAAACACCACATCCAGAACACACCGGCCGTTGACCCCCGTGCCTGCGTGGCTGCCCGGGAGCTGCACCCGCTGCCACTGCCCAGCACAAGAGAGTGTCCCAGCACACACCGCTAGCCCAGGAAAAGACCAAAACTCCAGCGCACGCGCATCACTTCCGAACAATCGTCACGTTGAACCTTCGTAAGCTGGGGTTGTCTGTGCTAGTGAGGGAGCCAGTCCTACAAACTGCCAGGGAAAATGCCAACTGCCGCAGCCTTTCAGGCCGCAAGTGGCAACAACTACCGACATTTCCATGTGTACATCCTTTGGCCCAGCTAACCTTCTCCTACTTATTTAATAGAAAAAAAAGAACAAAGAATGTGCACAGAGAAACTGGTTTAAAACTGTTCATCACTGGATCGCTTAGAAGACTAAAAAATTTAGTTGATTTTTAGTAAATTTAGCTAATCAAGCGGTTGCCGGTTCATTCCCAGTCAGAGCACGTGCCTGGGCTGCAGGCCAGGTCCTCAGGTGGGGGCATGCGAAGGGCAACCGATGGATGTTTCTCTCCCTCTCTTCCTCCCTCCCTTACCTTCTCTCTAAAAATAAATAAAATTTTTTAAAAAATGAAATTGTAGAAAAATACTTACTGACATGAAATATATTCATAATACAGCTGCCCCTTCAATGTGAGTTTGAACTACATGGGTCCCCTTATACACAGATTTTTTCAATAAATACTACAAATATATGTTCTCTTCCTTACGATTTTCTTAACATGTTTTCTCTAGCTTACTTTAAGAACACAATATATAATAGATACAACGTATAAAATACGTGTTAATCGACAGTTTATGTTATCGGTAGGGTTCCGGCCCACAGCAGGCTACTAGTGATGACGTTTAGTTTAGGGGGAGCCAGTCTTGCAACTACATGGAAGGCGGGCACTCCAACCCCCAAGTAAAATACTGTATGTACTATTTTCCCATTTTTCTTAAAACATGTAAGTAAATATATGCTCAAATAAAAGACTACAAAGCCTTTTCAAACAGCAAATGGTGATTAGTTCTGGTTAAGGAAATTCTGAGATTATTTTTTAATCTCCATTTGTTTAATGAGTATTTCTTGGCAACGAATGATGCGCACCGTTGCTATGGTGTGGACTGCCCAAGAACCATCTGGGTAACAGATCCTACGTGCCCACCTCAGCCCAGCCGACACGGAGGTGGCACGTGACCTGAGCTGGGTCCATCAACCAGTGCCCCATTCCCCAGGCAACAAGAATTGGTCCCAAATGGACTTGTGACTTAAAGTGGATCGAGTAAAATACCTTCCTGAAATTGTCTAACAGGACCTACTACCAGGGCAGCTTCCCTTTTCTTGTGACCACACGGCTGTACATGAGCTCAAAGCCACGGACACCCATGACTCCAGGGTCTCGAAGCACGCCAGGCCCCAGAGAAAGGCACACAGCGAGGGTCCTGGTGGCAGGGAGGCCCTGGTCCCACCCATCGCCTCCACCCTGATCCTGCCCAGTGAGGGGAGGAAATACCTGCCTCTACTTGCTGGAGTCTGCTCAAATACACTCATGTTTTTAGAGAGACATTTTAAAAGGCAATCTTTATCAATGAATTGGGCTTAAAAGCTTGAACAAGCCATAACAAACATCCAGTTTCACTTTCTGCCTGCTTGACACCAGTCATGAATTCACTTATGATAATGGAATCTTATTTATAAAAATAAACATCCTGAAAGTAACGTCCAAAAAACTTTCAGACTTCTCGGCCATTAAGATACGGGCATATCAAAGTATATTATTAAATGTAGAATTTTCAACTATTTGATGGATTTTTCCCCAGGGAAAGAACTATGAGTACTAAACACACACAAACTGAGTAAACACAGCAAGCTCCTCCCACAGGAACTTCGGTGTACTCCGAGCATCATTTTCTAACCACGGCCCTGCTGCTGCCAGTGGCTACGGGAGAGTCAAGCTACAAAACTTGGTGGTGAGAAACTGCAACAAAGGCAACTTCGAAAGTCAGAGGGTTCAACCCCCTACTTTGAGCATCATAAAAGGAGTATACAGGTTTTATTCAAACCGGTTTTCTCTACCCCTCCCACAAATGTTGAGTGAATATTTAAAGAACTTGAAGAAATGTGACCATAACAAAGATATGTGATGCCAACATAACACACGCAGCCCCAGGCAGACGTGAACCCACCTGTCCGGTGCCGACCTCAAAAGACTCGTAGTCGACGCGCACGGAGGAGGCAGAAGCGCCGACCGGAAGTTTCCTCCTGGACGCCGCTTCCTTCGGTTTCTGGGCACCGTCCTCTGGTCCCTTTGCCGACGCCGCCACCATCGCCCTCTTTTCTGAGGCCGCTTTCTTCTGTTCCTGTGAAATACCAAAATCTCGTAACATAACCTTGGGGAAAGAAGCCCATGTATGAGCTATCACCACAAAACACGCTATCTCAATATTAAGGAACGACTAGTAATTTCTTGAGCACAACAATCATATTGTGGCATTAGAGAAATGCCCTTTGAGAGAACGCATACTAAAGATTTACAAAAGAAGTGACATTATATCTATAATTTCCTTTAAAATTCTTAAGAAAAAAGATAAAGAGGCAATGAAAAAAATACAGCACAATAGCTACAATTCAATCTAAACACTGATTATCATTATACTGTTCATAATACTTTCCCACAGAGTTTTAATAAAAAGTTTAAAAATGTCAATGCCTTCAAGATCTAAACTTTGGACTGACAGTTTGGGAATACTATATGGTTTTTAAATACTACTTCTAGAAAGATGTGTGACTGAGGAGAAACTTCCCCACTCAACGCTGTGTCCGCACGGAGCCACTGACACGTCTCCCTCAAAAGCGTCTGGGGAGGGGTGGAGAGGCACGCGGCATTATATTCACACGGCAGACTGGCTACTCAGAAATAAAGGAACGATTCCACAGCTTGGTGAACCTCAGAAAGGAAATGTGGAGTAAGAGAAGCCAAATACAAAAGAGCACATGCACAGTGTTCATCCTACTACACAGAACAGGCAAAACTTTCAACGGTGGCAGAAATCACAGCAGTACGTGCACGGCAGGAGGAGCTGACTAGAGAGAAGCATGAGGAACAGAATGTGCTACTGCTTGTTTTAGGTCATGATTACAAAGGAGCAGAAATTGTCAAAACTCACTGCCACCAATAAGATCAATTTACGTCCACATTTCCACAAGCGAGCAAGAGCTTCGGGAGCATTATGGAACGGGAGTATCAAAAAACCAGATGAAGCCCACTCACACTGGCTTGTCATCACCCCCCGATACAGCAGCAGCACCGCCTGGGGGTGTGAACAGCTGTCATGGGCGGATGTGGCCACTGCCCACAAGTACATGCTCTAGTGGCCCCCAATATCCAGGCTGTGAATGACTGTGTAAGTCTCTGTCTAAAGTGACTGAAAATGCCTCAACAAAACAGCTGGCCAAATCAGTCTTACCTGTCAAAGAATTCCAAATACCACATTTTGCCGTGTACAATGTGCTCCCGTGTATAATGCACACCCGCATTTTTGAGCGTATCATGCACAAGATTATTATACCCACGGTACATAATCATTACACCCATGTATAAGGCACATGCTTATTTTTCCCTCAAATATACGGGCCAAAAAAAAGTACTCATCATACAGAGCAAAGTGCAGTACTAGGAAATCCAACTGGTTAATTCAACAGGCAATCCAGAAGAAAGACAACTCCCTGCCGGCCAGCTGAGGACTGACTCCACAGTGAACGCTGTGGAGGGTGCATCTCTGCCCTTGGAAGGCAGCCCCGGACTAACTCTGAAACCCTAAACGGAGAGCGTGTCCGGGGTCTTCAGTTCCAACTCGCCTCCTCCTTCAGAAGTGCGTCCCATCACATTCTCACAGCTCACTCCAAACTGCTGAGAGAGCTGTCTAAATAGACCATAAACTGTCCTGTTGCAAACTGTTTTGTTTCCCCTAGACTCATGCAATGATTATAAAAACATCACACACATACCTATCAATATTCCCAACATTAAAAACTCCTCCTTTTCAAATGGAAATCACTAAGATAGTTTACAAAGGGGGAAAAAAGCACTCAGACTACAAATACTTGATGTCCATATTATAAAATAATTGGCCAATTTTGGTCCCATTATTTTAGTTCCATTAAATCAATAGGATACACCATATTATCTATTTATTGATCGGGCAGCACCTTGTTATCTATAAAAAACAAAGAGCGATCAATGGCAACGTGGCTGTGAAAATGTCATGGTTCATTCAGAGGCAATTACTTCTGAATTTAAAAAATAAGAACATTTTTTTGATTTATACTCCTTTCAAAATATTTCTATAATGCCGTAGTTCATATATGCAAGCAACTGCAGTGTATGAACCAGACTCCTTCCCCAGGTTTTCCAAGAACAGTAACATGCTTTCCTGCTGCTTCTTCTTCTAGTACAGAATACAGGGAAGGGTCTGCGGCGGGGCCTGGAAACAGCTCCTCGTTTCTTGTTTTTGTTTTTGCCAACTTGTGCCTCACCAGGAGCAAAATGTTCATGGAAAAACCAGGAAGGAGTCAGTATGTTTAAAAATGCATTTATTATAGAAACATTTGGTCAGGGCTAAAATTTTATAATGAGTTTATAGCACGTATATTTTAAAATGTCTAAAGTGAATGTTAAGATTTAGACTAAACAGGTGATTTGGTGCTAAATCGTAATTGGTGATAGAATTAAGCAGGCCAGCATTTCATGGCGGTCATTTAAAAGCATCATGACTTTCACGGCCACAAAAACAGGTTTGAGACCCACTGCCTTACAAGACAAAATCCGAACTCCCGCACCTGCCATGCGGGCCCTCAGGACCCTCTGCTCTACCCTGCTCTCAGCTCGCCTTCGGTATCAGCTGCAGGCCCATGCCAGAAGGCCAAGTCCCCTGATCCGACCCACCCTCCAGCTCAAGCACCAACATCTTGGGGAAAGTCTTCTCTTACCAGCCCCAGTCCCTTCTCCCCTGGCCACAACTGCCACCCTCACCTGGCTCGGACAGCCTGGACAGCACTCTGTCACGGGACTGATGTGGCATCATTTGTGGTCAAATCTCTCCCTCTAACTGGACACAATATCCTCAGTTACCTCCACATTCCAAGAATCAAGCGCTGTGCCTGACCCCAAAGATGCATTTGTAAAATGTTAACTAACTCAATTGCTTAAGCTAATCACAACAAATCAGTCCTATGACCACAATCATATTACATAAATGGCCTATGTTACATTTCAAAGAAATAACACAAATAAACAGAAGTTCAAAAATGGCCCCGGCTGGTGTTGCTCAGTGGACTGAGTGCTGGCCTGTGAACCAAAGGGTCACCGGTTCAATTCCTGGTCAGGACACTTGAGCTAAGATTTATTGGGTGTTAGTCTTCATATGCATTACTGCATCCTCACTCCAACTCTGTCGGGAAGGTATTATCATTCCCATTTTAGGAATAAAGGAAACTAAGAAACGGAAAAGGTAAAGAAATTTCTCATGAATATGTAGTTAATAAGTGGATGAACTGGGCATCAGGGTAATCAACTCACCCATCTGTCCAGGATTTACCCAGTTTTTGCACGGGGAAATTCCCATTTCACAAATAAAAAATCCTTTTTCAAGGGAATTCTCGGTCCCAAGGAAACTGGGTGGCCAGTTACCCTAACTGGAATTTAAATCCGGTTCTGACAGACTCCCAAGTCTGAGCGTCCCTCAACCCCACAACCGTGTCCCAGGGCGGGGCTCACTAGCTGGCCTGACCGGAACGGCAGTAACGAAACCTTCCAAAACACACACAGACTAGTCGCGGGTGAGTTTTTTTTCTTTGGGGGGCAGAGATGAACTTTACCAGTTTGATGGCTTTATGTTTTACAAAGTTAGCTATCTTCTTTCTGGGTCCCAGAGGTATTCCCATTTCCTTCAGATCATCAACTGTACACATGAGCTTAAAAAGAAAACAAACACGCACGTTAATTAGTCTACCGGCAGAACGAAACTGAAAAACGATTATAAAAAGGAACTACACACCTAATAAAAAGAAACTACACATCTAAAGCAATCTAACATTCAGTCACTTTTTTTTAACAGTTAGTGTATTTTTTTGTTTTTAAATCACGGATTAATTTAGACTGTAAAATCTTAGCCCTCCACATGCAAATCATTGTATTACTTTTTTTAACAGAAAATATATGCATGATGTACAAATTCAAAAGCTACAGGAAAGCTGAAGTCTTAAAGTCTCTCCCCTGCAGTCCTGCCCCAACCACCCGACCCAGCCCTCTCAGCAGCAGCTGCTGGCGATTCGCTCTCCTTCCAGAGAGGTACCTTATACATACACAGCATCTGCATGTTTTTCCGATGGGGGGGGGGGGGCTACTATGCAAACAGGACTGAAGTTTTTGGTCTTTGCATATGACGTGCCTAAGAGATCATTCTCACTGGTATCTCTGATACTGCTCATTCATTCAACAGCCACACGGCACACCATCACATAGATGCGCCACAAATAACCCCACTAGTGGACACAAAAGGTGTTTCTAAGGTTTTGTAGTATGAACAGTGCAGTACCCTTGTGCATCTTCTTGAGTGAATATTTCTTTACAGGAAATATTCCTGGCAGTGAATATGCTGGAACATAGAGCATTTTTTATATTTTAAAAGATATTGGCAAACTGCCCTCCAGAGAGATTTGCACTGTTACAACACTATGTAACAGTGCCTGCTTCCCCTCATCCTAGCCGCACAGTATACAGAGTAGGGCCAAAGTGGGTTTACAGTCATTCCTCTGGAACATTAATAATTAATAATAATTAATAAATAGTAACAAAAATACACTGTGTGTTTCATATACTCACAAACTGTAAACTTACTTTTTTTCCCCACACTGTATTAGCAAACTCTTTATTTTTACCAAACTGCTAAGTTAAAAAAAATCTCATTGCACTTTTATTTGCATTTCTCCTATGAGATGTAGTGTGGGAAGCCATGTTATTTTCTTTTCTGTGTATCATCTGTTCCTATTCTTTGCCTATTTTCCTATTGTGTTGATATCTTTGCACAACTAAGTTGCAGAAGCTTTGAAGAGTAAGGAGATAAGCCATTTGTACACAATGTGTGTTCCAAACAGTCTTCTTAACCTATCATGGGCCTTTAGACGCTGCTCGCGGCCTCTCCTGCTACGCAGTGTTTTTTCCTTTATGGCTTCTGGGTTTTGTGTCACACTCACAACAATCTCCTCAGATTTTTTTTTTTAAAGTTCTCCTGTGTTTTTCAACTTTTTAAACATTTAAGTCTCTGCCTTATCTGGCATGTATTATGAGGTAAGAGCCTAAGAGTGTTTAAATCATTCTTAATTCTTATACACATGAAAAGTAATTTTACGCAAAAATGAATCAAACTATCATCATTACCAGAGATTCCATATCAATCTTTTCCTTTTCAAAAGTGCTAACGTATTCAGAGAGGCTAAGTGCTGCCAGAGTTTCTTGCAAAGTTAGGACTTCTTCATTTTCAACATCAAGGTCACAAGACTCATCCAAGGTCAGCTTCGGCTCCTCATGCATCTTTTAAAAAAGTTGGGGAAACATTACAAAGCTCAGAACAACTCCCACAAAATATCTCCTAATCTACAGAAACTCTAAAATCATTCTGCTCTATAAACAAATCATAATTTTTAGTAGTTTGTCATCCAAAGTTTTATATTCTGAAAAAGCATATAAATTTAATAAGTCACTCATGTTCCCATTTCTTACAGCAACAAGCAGCTACATGGTTCCATTACCCTTGTAAACCTCAGTGTATTTTGACATATAGCAACAGTTTGGGTTTTTGGAAAACTGTTCAGTTCCAACTGCAATCTAAACGTTAATTGAGCCACACCTGCTTCTCCTGAAAATGCGGCTGCTTCACAGCTCCGTTAGCAACTGCAAAAGGCCTTGGAGACTCGGTTGAAGCCAAATCTTTTTGATTACACAGGATGTCAAACAATATTAAAGAACCTAAAAAAAAGAACATTTTGCTTTTTAATGCTCTAGGTGCTTTTTATAACACGAAATACATCCTCTTACTTTTTCTCAAAGTCCCTAGGCAGAAGTCATACAAAGATTAGATGTTAATCAAATATTCCTGTTTTACCAAACAGCAGAATAAATTAATATAAAGTCTTTCTAGGTATCATGAAAGGTAAACAGAAAAGGCAGAATCTAAACTCAAAGCATTCACTTCTACCCTTTATTAAACTTAAAATCAATTATTCTAAATCTTGCACTAACAATGTCATCCACACTGAAAGCAGTAATGACTCAAGAAATATTTTGTTTAAAATGTGGGTATTTAGCCCTGGCTGGCATAGCTCAGTGGATTGAGCTCGGGATGCGAACCAAAGTGTCGCAGGTTCGATTCCCAGTCAAGCCACATTCCTGGGTTGCAGGCTACGGCCCCCAGCAACGGCACATTGATGTTTCTCTCTCTCTCTCTCTCTTTCTCCCTCCCTTCCCTCTCTAAAAACAAATAAATAAAATCTTAAAAAAAAATTTAAAACAAAAATGTGGGTATTTGACAGGTTTACCTAAACTGTGACCAGCAACAGAGATCCCTCCTTTGAAGTCTGGGTTCCGACTCATAAAGAGTGCGTGCAGACGGTTTATCTCCATTCCCACCTTTTCCACAATCTTCTGACAGTAGGTGGGGCTATTGTAAAACAGAATATCCAGCAAGGTTTCATTGGTAAAGTGACGGAACCGACCGATACTCGACAAAGTGATTTTCTTAATATTCCTGTTCAAAAAGAAAACAAAGTATATTGTCAGTAGCTACCTCAAACCTATGAATTTTTTAAGTTTAGATTTTGAATCCTGAAAATATACTGCATAAAAAATCCCACAGACTAATTATGAGCTGATCTGTAGACAGAGTTATTATAAATAAATCAAGATATAGCAAAAAATTGCTATTTGTGCCTTTAACTGTACTGTGAATTTGGGGATTCTCTGAAGAGTTATCATATAAAATAAGGCTTACAAAAAGATTTTTATTTTTAAAGAAAGCCTACAGTTTCATCTGTCCTCCAATTTATTGGAAATCAGGATGACAAAAACTGTGGGTGCGAAGGACAAGAGAGAAAGTATCAGGAAGAAAGGAGCTTAAAGGAATGAAAATCCCTCCTGGTTTGAGAATGGCCATAGCGAAGTTCAAGAACACCCACAGAAGAAGGAAACACCCTCGTAACAGGGCCCAGCATGCACAGAACGCTGTTTGCACAGAACGCAGTTTTATTAAACCATGTGCTCTGAAACATTATGACCTCTACCAAAATTCAGATGTTATTAACCCTGTGTCCTAGCAGAGATATTACTTAAACTTTAATAAAAATTACCTGCCCTGGTTGGTGTGGCTCAGTGGACTGAGCACCAGCCAGCCTGCTAACCAAAAGGTCGCCAGTTCGATTCCCACTCAGGGCACATGCCTGGACTGCAGGACAGGTTCCCACTTGGAGGTGTGTGTGAGAGGCAACTAATCGATGTTTCTCTCCCTATCTTTCTCCCCCTTCCCCTCTCTCTAAAAGTAAATAAATAAAATCTTTTTTAAAACACATATTTAAAAATTACCTAAATAAAAAAAAAAAATTACCTAAATCTGTGTTCTCAATTAGGAGCATTCTTACTTGCCACAGTGCCTGGTTAAGTGCTACGGGCATTCAGTGGCATTTAGACTAAGGACACTAAATGGCATACAGTACACACGAAACAACCCACAGTACACACGAAACAACCCGACATGACAAGGAATGGTCCTGCCAAAAGAGCTCCACTGAGAAACAATCATCTAAACCAGTGGTTCTCAACCAGGAGCGGCTGCACCCCAGGGTACCTCTGGCAATGGCTAGACGAGTCTTTGGGGGCCACACTGTGGGAAGGAACGTGCTACCACTATCTAGGGGATAGAGGCCAGGGATGCTGCTAAACACCTACAACGTACAGGACAGCCCCTAGCCAAACCACTCTGCGTCAGGATTTTACAACCAGGGTACATTTCCTAGATGCTCTTAAATATTTGTAGTAAGAACATGTGCATACACATATACTCGCATGTACACGTGTGCATGTGTGCACACACAGAAAAGTAGCATATAAACGTAACCAGTATTTAATCATGCATCAGAGCAAGTATAAATTTAAAATTAAAAAATACATTTGTTCAAGTCATAATAAACTCTCTCACGTTATAGTTTAAATTTTGAATCTAAGTTCGAACAGTTTGAAAAACAAATTACCAAAACGCACAAACCTGTCAACACCTGTGGCATCCCCACCCAACGCACTGTGCCAGTGGACCGGAAGGAACTCCACTCGGCTTATCTTCCGATCTTCTAACGATTTCTTGAAATGCGTCTGCAGCAATTTGAGTGAAACCACCCTAAAATCATCCACTTTAAAAAAATATCAAGGAAAACAACAAGTTATATTAATTAAATTCTCCTAACTTGATAGGTAGTTAGCAATTATCTCAACTATATCTGTATTTTTTATAACACAAACTTTTCAAGAAAAAAAAACAAAAACCCTAACATTTAGAAAGTTCTTTTAAACTTTTCATTATTTTACAGGCATGTCAATGACTGAAAAACATTAGTTTAACTATCACAAACTGCCCTGGGTTGTGTGACTCAGTGGACTGAGCTCAGGCCTCTGAACTAAAGGGTTACTGGTTCGATTCCCAGTCAGACACATGCCTGGGATGCAGTTTCGGTGCCCAGTCGGGAAGCTTACAAGAGGCAATCAATCAATGTTTCTCCAATCAGTGTTTCTCTCTCTCTCTCTTCCTTCCTTCCCCCCTCCAAAATCAATAAGCATGTTCTCAGGTGAGGATATATAAAAATAAATAAATAAGTAAATAATACAATACAATACATGTAAGATATTTGGCATATACTAAGTATTCAGTAAATATGAACTATTATACAGAGATAAAAATAAAGCTTCAGATTTCTCCGGCCAAGATGGAGGCGTAGGTGGATACACTTTGCTTCCTTGCAAAACCAGAAGGAGGATAACAACCAATTTAAAAACAAAAAACCAGCAGCACTGCCAGAAAATCAAACTGTAAGGAAGTCTGACAACCAAGGAGTTAAAGAAGAAACATTCATCAAGACTGGTAGGAGGGCGGAGATGGGCAACCAGGGCAGAGAGGATGCGCAGCACGTTGGCAGCTGGCAGACTGGGCGGTCCCACATTTGCGTACAGATAAGCCAGGAGGAACAACTGGGGAGCAAGACAGACTTCACAACCCAGGGTTCCAGTGTGGGGAAATAAAGCCTCAAACCTCTGGCTGTAAAAATCTGTGGGGGTTGCGGCAGCCAGAGAAACTGCCAGTCGTCCCGGGAGGGCCCCCTGGGGACAGCCCACAGGGTCCTAGAACATACACAAGCCCACCCACCTGGGGATCAGCACCTGGGCAGCACCAGGAAGGGCACGCAATTAGCTTGCGGGAAGCAGGGAAGTGACTGAAGGCGGGGTGAGAGCTGAGCAGGCAGCACTGTTCCCTCTCGGACCCCTCCCCCACATACAGCGCCACAGCGCAGCAAAGAGGGTTGCCCCACCCTGGCCAATACCTAAGGCTCCACCCCTTACAACGTAACAGGTACACCAACACAAAGAAATATGGCCCAAATGACAGAGCAAATCAAAACTCCAGAAAAAGAACTAAGTGACAAGATGGTAACAACCTATCAGATGCAGAGTTCAAAGCACTGGTAATCAGGATACTCACAGAAATGATTGCGTTCACTCACAAAATGAAGGAAGAAATGAAGGCTATACAAAGTGAAATAAAGAAAAAATACACAGTGAACCCACAGTGCAAGGAAGGAAACCAAGATTCAAATCAACAATTTGGAACAAAAGGAAGAAATAAACATTCAACTAGAACACAATGAAGAAACTAGAATTTTAAAAAAATGAGGAAAGGCTCAGGAACCTCTGGGACAACTTTAAACATTCCAACATCTGAGTCATAGGGGTGCCAGAAGGAGAAAAGGAAGAGCAAGAAATTGAAAGCTTATTTGAAAAAATAAGAAGGAAAACTTCCCCAATCTGGTGAAGGAAATAGACATGGAAGGCCAGGAAACTCAGAGAGTCCCAAAGAAGACAGACCCAAAGAGGAACACACCAAAACACATCACAATTAATTTTGCCACAGATTAAAGATAAAGAAAGAATCTTAACAGCAGCAAGTGAAAAGGAGACAGTAACCTACAAAGGAGTTCCTGTAAGACTGTCAGCTGATTTCTTCAAAGAAACCTTGGAGGCAAGGAGGGGCTGGAAAGAAGTATTCAAAGTCATGAAAGGCAAGGACCTACACCCAGATTACTCTATCCAGCAAAGCTATCATTTAGAAAGGAAGGGCAGATAAAGCACTTCCCAGATAAGGTAAAGTTAAAGGAGTTCATCCTTACCAAGTCCTTATTATATGAAATATCAAAGGGACTTATCTAAGAAAAAGAAGATGAAAACTATAAACAGTAAAATGACAACAAACTCACAACTATCAACAACTGAATCTAAAAAAACCACACAAACTAAGCAAACAACTAGAACAGGAACAGAATCATAGGAATGGACATCATGTGGAGGGTTATCTGCGGGAAGGGGGCGGAGGGAGAATGGAGGCAAAGGTACAGGGAAAACCAAGTGTAATTGGTAGGTACAAAGTAGACAGGGGGATGTTAAGAATAGTACGGGAAAGGAGAAGCTGAAGAACTTATCTGTACAACCCGCAGACGTGAACTACGGGGAAGAAATGCTGGAGGGAGGCGGTTACAGGGTGGAGGGAAATAAAGGGGAGAAAAAATGGAACAACTCTTAATAGCATAGTCAATAAAATATACTTTAAAACAACTTCAAAAATTTCTGTAAACCATGCAGATTCATACTTGCATTAAACAACTCCTCACCACTAATTCACTATAAATCAATTTAATACACAGGTGTTCCTAGTTGCTAGAAGTGCTCAAGCAGAGGTGACAAGAAAGGCTCAATTATTTCCAAGATCCCATCTAATTCCTCAGTCTAGATTTTTATGAGTTATACATGTCATAAAAGTAAATCAGGTACAAATTAATACTCCCAGTGATCAAATAATTCACCTCTTACAGGCCTCTCAGCTGGAAGCTGTTTGAAAACGTCCCTCGAACATTTAGAAGTCCCTCTATCAGCTCTCCAATCACTCCACGAAGTAAAAGGACTAACACTCACCACATTCAATGATGCTTCTGAAGCGCAAGTCACACACAGGTCCAATGCCATGTACCATGAACACCAAGTGGTCAACCTGAGGCATCTCCCCTACAAAAGAAATACACACACACACATAAGCTAGACATGTGTTTGGGTCTCCTAATTGAACAGCAATATTCAGATTTCCCTTTTATCATCACAAAGTTCTCAAGAAATTCATGGCCCTTCCAACCTAATGAGCCTCATTACCCTCTACCAAATCAGAAGAACAAAACTCAAAGTCCGTCTCGGCAAACAGCAGTGAGCTGGACCAAGGAGCGGAGGCAGCAGGGCGTCTCTGGTCCCAGAAGTTGTCAGCACGTGATGACCAGCAGGTTCGTACCTACAGAGGCTCCATGACCTTGTGATTTCTTCAGAACTCCACAGGGCACTGGACCCCACATGGAGAACCCACTTGCCAATATAAAACTGTAAAATATTTCCCCCAAATCCCTTTCTTTGATTTGTTAGATTCATATATACTATAGTAAGAACATCTCCAAGTTAAATCTACTATTTTATTCTGGTTATTTCATTCAGATTCATAATATGACTACATTCATTTTATAATATCTTAAGACAATAAAATAAAGTATGTAATTGTCAAAATAAAACCCATACTTTTAATGGCATAATAGGAGAAACCACAGGACAAACACTGGAGCAAGGGACAGCAAACCATGGCTAATGGTCCAAACCCTGCTCACTGCCTGTTTTTATAAATAAAGTGTTATTGAAACACAGCTATGCCCATTTGCTTACATAGCCTCCAGATGCCTTCACACTGCAAGAGCAGAGCTGAATGGATACAACAGAACCCACATGGCCTGCAAAGCCTAAAATATTTACTGCTTGGCCTTTACAGAAAACATCTGCCACGCTGGCACTCAAGTAAGAAAAACGAATTGAGGCATGACAAAACAAGCCCCAAAACACAGCGAAAAGCCTAGTTTCGACCAGCAAAATATTTCTTTACAACAATACATGTTTTAGAATCTACATTACATGATTTATATATCTTCACAGAATTCTAAATGTAAAAATAAAGAAAAAAGGCAATAAAAATTTTTTAAAGATATGTGCCAACCTGGCTGCCTTCTGCATGTTATGGCAGGTAACCCTAATAACTGCTTCTTTATACGTCCTCCTTCCAAAAAATTATGCTAAAACAGAGAAGTCTAGAAATGACACTGGTCCCAAACAAATCATACACACCATCGGGGATTTCATCAAGGTTATCATCAATCCCGCGCTTTACAACCCTGGGCCTCGTCTGTCCATCCTGTGTGGTCCCCCACTCATCGGGCACTGAGGAAGGCTGGAACTGAACAATAACCTTCAAGATACAACAGAAGGATTATGACAGGTCTCACCATCAAATTCATTTCCACTACGGGCTAAATGTGTATTTCAACACATAATAAACTACCTGCATAGTATGGGTAATTTATACGCCAAGTACTACTACTGTTGCCCCCAAACCAATCTGTAACAGTCCTGATAGTGTTCAGTAATCATTAAAACTAAGCAAATCAGTACCATTATTTCCAATGCTAATGTTAGAAAATAATACAACTAAATCAGAAGTAATACGCCTGCCCTGGCTGGTGTAGCTCAGTGGATTGAGCACGGGCTGTGAACCAAAGGGTTGCCAGTTCGATTCCCAGTCAGGGCAATGCCTTGGTTGCAGGCCAGGTCCCCAGTGGGGGCCACGTGAGAGGCAGCCATACATTGATGTTTCTCTCTCTCTTTCTCCCTCCCTTCCCCTCTCTAAAGATAAATAAATAAAATCTTAAAAAAAACACACACCTGGATTTAGAAATGTAATATAAACATCCAAGTTCACACGTAAGAAACTAAGGAAAAGTTACCTGCAACAGGAGTCTATTGACAACTGCTTTTTCATTGCCAAGAACTGATTAATTCACCCCTTTTTAGGAAGACATATATTCATTTTTTTAATACTTTAATTATTTTTAGAGAGGGGGAAGGGAGGCAGAAAGAGAGGGAAAGAAACACCACTGTGTATTGCCTCTTGCACACCCCCTACTGGGGACCCTGCCTGCAACCCAGACATGTGTCCTGACTGAGAATCAAACCAGCGACCCTTTGGTTCGCAGGCCAGCACTCAATCCACTGAGCCACACCAGCCTGGGCAAGAAGACATATATTCTGTTAAATCCAGCTGTATTAAATTAAACCTAGTGTCATATGAAAATATTTTTCAAAAAATAAATGCATGCAAAATGCTATGCAAAATTTTGTGTTTGTACACAAAACAAAAAGTTAAAGAAAACTTTTAAACAAAAGGATAAGAGTGGTTACCATCAAGAGGAGATACAGGGGAGGTGCAGAAGTAAGAGGCTGTTACTTTGAGGCTATTTTTTATTTTATACCTTTTTATACTGTTTAAACTTTGTTGACATATACATGTTTTTATTTTTACTTACTTATTTTTTTGTTTTAATCTTCACCCAAGAATATGTTTTTTTATTGATTTTAGAGAGAAAGGAAGGTAGGAAGGGAGGGGGAAGGGAAGGGAAGGAAAGGGGGACAGGGGAAGAGGGGGAGAAAGAGAGAGAGAGATAGACAGATTTCAGTATGAGGGAGAAACATCAATGGGTTGCCTCCCGTATGTGTCCCAACCCACAACCTTCTGAGATATGGCACCAACTGAGCCACCTGGCCAGGGCTATTTTTATTTACTTTAGTATCAATAAGGACTACAGAGGTGGTTAGAGTATAGGTTACTTTATACTTTCCTGTAATAAACAAACAGCCTGTGTCTGAGCAACTGTATGCCAAGGACTATGCTAGATGATTCTGCATACATTACCGCACTTCATCTAAAACATGGCCAAGGAGGTAACCCTGTTGCAAGTGGGGAGCCTGTAGCTCAGAGACTGGGAACGGTAAACAAAAGGATGCAAACACCACTTGCACTACATTAAAAATAACAAGCAGAAGAAAAAAGTTTCTAAAAACAATACAAATAAGAAGGAAAAACATATTTTACATTTCAAAGGTTGAAACAAACTGTCATCAAGGGCATGGTGGGTAAACTAGGGCCCGTAGGCCAAACTGGCCCACCACTTGTTTACGCAAATAAAGTTTTATTAAAAATAGCCATGCCCCATGTCTGTAGCTGCTTTCAGGCTACAAAGGCAGAATTGACAGCTACAACAAAGACCATATGGTGGAAAAAGCCTTAAATATTTACTCTCTTGCCCTTTCCAGAAAGAGTAAGCTGACCTCTGATGAAATGCAAAAATTTATCAAGCAACCTCTGTGCTGCATACTAAGCTCAGCTAACACGTTGCCACAAATAGAAACTTCATGAGCCAGATTTAAATGTTATTTTTGTCTCTATGATCAATGTGAACTATAAACTTAAAAGCAATGCATTGTTATAAATCTATCCCTACTGCAGAAAAACAAACATTTATCAAACATGTTCTGCAAAATAATTATCTTAATGAACCTATAAACTTTAATATCTTAAAAATGCCATTACCTTTGGATTGTGCATAACAATTGTCTCTCCACTTGGAAATTCTAACCTGCGGTGCCACTGATTTGTGGTTACAGCTTTTTTGTATTCGGCCTACAATAATGGAAACAACATGTATTCATTGTTACAAATCTGTGACACATTAAGAGAAAAAAAGGAAGAAAATTATAACTATGATGGTATTAAAAATAACAGTTAACAGCAGCTCTCGTGTACTAACTGGTTACCATACTTATCACTTTACATGTATTACCTCATTTAATTAATTACTTTCAATCACTTTAAATAACATTATCCACATTACACAGAGGCAAAAACCAACATTAGACAGTCAGTCAGTTTCCTCGAGCTGCCATAACAAAGCACCACAAAATGGGCAGTGTAAAACGACAGAAATTTACTCCCTCCGCCCTGGAGGCCAGGGGTCTGAAATCAAGGCGTCCGCACGGCCACGTTCCCTCTGAGAGCTACAGGGGACTCCTTCCTCACCTCTCCCTGGCTGCTGGCGGCCTGCCGACAATCTTCAGTGTCCCTTGGCTTACAGGTGCATCACTCCAATCTTCTATTTTCACAGAGCCGTCTCCCTATGTCTTATCATGTTGTCTTCTTAAAATACCAGTTATACGGGATAAGGGGCCCACCCCACTCCACGATCATCTCATCTTAAATAATTATATGTGCAACGACCCTAGTTGCAAACAAAGTCACATTCTGCGCTGCCAGAGGTTAGGACTTCAACATATCTCTTTTGGAGGGGGGACACAACTCAACCCCTAGCAGGCCTTTTACTTCCCAGTTGCATGAGATTACACAGCGGTAAGCAGCCGAGGCGGAGCTGCAGTTCACTCCTGCCTCAACTTTCCGACACCGACGACGGTGATCTTTGTGGCGGGACCAAGACAGGCTCCCTTGTAAACAGAGGCTGCTCCCTGTGAGTGGGATCACCCGCGGCTCCAACGCACACAGGGCCCACGTTTTTTAAACCAAAGCACGGAGGAATAAAGCGCACATACCTCCAGTTTTTCACTGAACTCCTCCGTATAGGGAATGAACCTGCTGTCCGTGTCCCCCTTGTAAAACCAAGTGCAGCGCCTCACTTCGGCGGGCTCCTCTTCCCAGTACACGGCCCTCCTCACTCGGTCGTAGAGGTGCACATCGTAGCGACCTCCGTCCGTGCCGAGGACCACACTCTCGGGGTCTGGCTGCACTGGAAGCAAAGCCCACATTTTAACCCGGCGGTTAAAAGGCATGTTTACAAGTAATACATAATGAATACAGTGACTGACTGATCTTGAAAGACAAAAAACGAAGCTCATTTTTATCTGAAAAGATTTAAGATTAATCTGTGCTGATCAAAATTATGATTCCTTTTAAGATTTTGTTTATTTGCCTGGCTGGCGTAGCTCAGTGGATTCAGCGCGGGCTACGAACCAAAGTGTTCACAGATTCGATTCCCAGTCAGGGCACATGCCTGGGTTGTAGGCCATGACCCCCAGCAACCGCACACTGATGTTTCTATTTCTCTGTCTCCCTCCCTTCCCTCTCTAAAAATAAATAAATAAAATCTTAAAAAAAAAACGATTTTGTTTATTTGAGAGAGAGGGGAAGGTAAGGAAAAAGAAGGAGCGAAACACTGGTGTGTGAGAGAAACACTGACTGCTTGCTTCTTACACATGCCCGACTGGGGACCAGGACCACAACCCAGGCATGTGCCCTGAGTGGGAATCGAACCAGCGACCCTTCGTTGTGAGGGACGACACTCAGCCAACTTGAGCCACGCCGACCAGGGCATGGCTGTTCTCGAGTGAACAAACAGCCAGAGCAAACTTTTTTAAAACATGATGGTAAAATAAGTGAAATAACTGGTACATATTTTTTAAACCAAAGCAGTAACACTCATGAAGTATATTTCTAAAGAATATTAATAGGTAATGAAGTTTCATGAAAGAATATCATCAGGGTGCACACACAAAAAACTCGTATTTCTACACTGCAAGACTTCTCAGAGCCTCAGCGTGCTCCCGTGCGTGCGCTGGCTATTTCAACAGACGTAGCCACAGCAGTTCCACGACTCAGCTGACCACGGTCACAGTATTTTTTTCACAGTATCTTAAAAAGTAAAATTTCCAGAGAAAACGCTTTACAAATACCCTATGAATAACGGAAATAAGAAAACTGACACCCAAGAAAACCTGACACCTAGATTACATGAACTGCTCTGTTTCTCTGATTCAAAAAGCCTCTATTAAAACCCTTCTTCAAAGAACGTGCTCAGACAACTCAGGACTTACATTAATATCACCATCTTCAAGTACAGAGTCTGGTGGGAGCTGCGAGGATTAAGCAATGTGACATTCACAAAAAGTAAGCCATGGCTCAACACCCTTCATTTCTCCTCTCCCTAAAATCAGCCACACTGATAAATGACGCGCAGTCAGTGCTTACCTGAATTATAGACTTCTTCGAGGTTCAAAGAGTCAAACACACTGAAAGGCATCCACACGTGCTTGTCTTCGACCTCCTTGCAGTAAAACCAGTGCGGCTGGACGGGCTCGTACTGGTTCTGAAGTAAGAAGGGAGGCGGCACCTGCACGGCGGGACCCGCGGGCCTGGGCGGGGCCGGCAGCTGTGCTGCAGGGGACAGCCCTGGCTGCGCGGAAGGAGGGATCTGGAGGGGACGGAAAAGTTAAGACCGTCACGCTTGTTCCAAGGAGCAGTTCTGTACACGCTTCAGACCCATTATCAAGAGTCTGCGTAACAGTCTGATTTACATCATATCAAGAGTCTGCGTAACAGTCTGATTTACATCAAATAAAACGAAACCCATTCTCCACCCCCTAGAGTAAAGGTATGTTCCAGTCTCATTATAATACTGATATCTCTGCCACCCTGGGTTGGGTTCTTCTTTCCACTGCTTCCCCTTTTTTGATTTAGTTGATCTCCCCTTGGGAGTCAGCTGGATATCGGCTGGGAAAAGAGCTAAGGAATTTCGTAAAATTTACCCAGTGTAAATGTTATTCTATCACTCTCCTGAGACAGAGTTTAACTGTCTAGATCCAAACTTCATAAATGCAAATAAAAGAAATTATTGGAGTAATTCATTTTAGTCCCTGTAATTAAATATCTAGATTGAATAGTATAATTAAAAAATGAGAAGTTGGCAGTCTGTTAAGATAATAATTGCTTTGACTCTCACCGGTCCTTAGATCCCATTAATTATTGGTATCTAGCACTAAAATCTGGAAATACTGGCACAGATTAACTCATTAAAATCAATTACTGCTTCAATACAGATTAATACAAATGAAAATGTGAACCATTCAACGCGGTACCTTTAAGACATGTTTGTATAAAAAAGTTTTTAAAAATAGAAACAAAATCTATACCTAGTATTTTTACATGTCCTTTTGAATGCTCTTTTTTCCTGGTAAGAAACCAAAGCATACAGCTTACAAAGCAATCCTCTGAAAATAATGTGTCATCACATTGATTACAAAAAGCACTGAGAGAGAGACTACAAATCAAAGTGAATAACTGGTGAAACAAATCAAGTAAACAGGAGCAGGTGTCCATACCGGCGGCACAGGTCCCGGAGGCGTCTGGTACAGGTGAGCGGGGGGCCCGGAGGGTGGAGGATGGGTGGGGTGGCCGGGGGTTTGGCACTGCTGCAGCTGCGGCGGTGTAATGTAAGGGTTAGCTCTGCTGCTCACGGGAGTATGGCGATAGGGATTGTACCCTTGTTGGGGCATTCCTTGGGGCGGGCTCCCAAAATTTGAAGGAGGGAGACTACTCGGCTGAGAAGGCAAATAAGTGTTTGTTCCCATCTGTGAAGAAGGCGGAGCACCATGTTGAGCCTTCGAGCTGGACGGTGGAAACGCATCTTGGGGTCCGGGTGTGAAAGGGAGCGCAGCTGGGGGCTTGGAGAACGCCGGCAGGCCAGCTGATGCCCCCGCAGCTGGTAACGGCGACTGTCCGATATTCCCAAACGGGTCGCCGCTGCTTGAGGCCTGAGAGAAGTAACTAAATGTCTGTGGGGTGGACGTGTGAACAGAAGTCTGACCCAGGAAGCTGTCCTCCTCACCAACATCTGTGGAATCCTCTGGAAAAGGCAGAAGGGCAAATGGTTTCAAAAGGATGATATCGTTCTACAGATCTAGCTCTCGTTACTCTTATTTTGCTCAAACTTTCATTTCTGCATTACAGGAAAAAAATGAAAAATTTTTATTTTTTTTTCTTTGAAAATTTCTTTTTGAAGCCCTGGCTGGCGTAGCTCAGTGGACTGAGCACAGGCTGCGAACCAAAGTATCACAGGTTCGATTCCCAGTCAGGCCACATTCCTGGGTTGCAAGCCACGGCCCCCAGCAACTGCACATTGATGTTTCTCTCTCTCTCTCTTTCTCCCTCCCTTCCCTCTCTAAAAATAAATAAATAAAATCTTTAAAAAAAAAAAGGAAATTTGTTTTTGAAATGAAAAACTAAAAAATGTGAATAAGAAACAACAAAAAGGCTCTGGCCAGGTAGCTCGGTTGGTTAGACTGTCATACCCATACAACAAGGTTGCAGGTTCAATCCCCAGTCAGGGCACATACAAGAATCAACCAATGAATGCATAAATAAGCAGAACAACAAATTGATGTTCCTCTCTCTCTCTCCCTCTCAAAATCAATAAATAAAAAAAAAATTTAAAGAAAAGGAATAGCCCTGGATGGTGTGGCTCAGGGGATTGAGTGCCGGCCTGTGAACCGAAAGGTCACCAGTTCAATTCCCAGTCAGGGTACGTGCCTGAGTTGCAGGCCAGGTCCCCAACTGAGGGCGTGCAAGAGGCAACCAGTTGATGTATCTCTCGTACATGTTTCCCTCTCTTCCTCCCTCCCTTGCCCCTCTCTAAAAATAAATAAATCTTTTTAAAAATTAAAAATACAAGAAATGAAAAAGGAAGAAAAAAGTATAATTCATTCATAAGCCCACTTTCCAGAGACAATCACCACTAACAACATTTTGGTCCATACCTTTCCATACCTTTCCATACTTTTTAAGTGAATATAAACAGTTACGTGTTATTTCTTCTGTAAATATATAGAAATTATACATGTTTGCATATAGAAATTTTTTTAAAATAGAAACGAAATCTATACCTACTATTTTTACACATTCTTTTGAATGCTCTTGTTTCCTGGTAAGAAATCAAATAGCATTCTGCTACCCAACACACATTATTTTATTTCTACAGTAACAGCAAGAAACTAAAGGACAGGTATTAACTCTGTTGACGAGAAGGGGTATGTCAGGGCTCTTATCAGCAAAGCACGCACTGTACAAATGAACACGTGGTATTTGTATTCACAAGGCAAAACAGGTCAACCATGAACTGCCATCCCTACAATCACAGAGTATCACAACCAGATAATTTGTCATCAGAGATTTGTCCTAATCACTAGAAAGTCCTTCTCTAACCAAGGGAAGTCCCCTCACTTCCCTTTGCCGAACCTGACCTTCACTGCAGGTATTACTGGCACCCACTGTTTACCTTCTATTCTGCCACCAAGTTGTACAATCACAGCGCTTTTCCTCTACATGGCCGCAAAGTCCAGCCCGCTCTCGCATCAAACTTGCGTGAGCCCTTGGCTTGTTGTAACTTCTTGTCCTCTCCCTAATCTCTTCCCTCTCTGGCCCCATACCTTCTTATCTCCCACTCCTGAAGGGTGGAGGCTGTCCGTGGGGTGGCCCGGCTCCCAGGACACAGGCAGGCTGAGGTCCCTGCCCTTGAGACCTGACAAAGGGGGCCTTCTTTCCAGCTGCAGCCTCCATCCTGGTCTGCTGAAGGAGGACCCTGGGCTGGCAGATTCTGGCTTGGGTTTCTAGGTTGTTCCCACTATATTTCATCGATGTAACAGAAATAACCCAGTATTCAAAATACTCCTTCAGATTGTTTCTTTGTAACTAAAAATAAAATAGCACCTCTTGCACAAAGGTGCATTGCCTTTTGTCGGCTTGTATCAGTCTGCTTTTCTTACGTATTTCCGGTTCCCACCCTCTCTCTTCAGTCATGTAAACCTCACTTGGACTTAACTGTATTTCATCTCTCAGTAACTACCAGCATCGCCCTGCCTGGTGTGGCTCAGTGGATCGAAGGCAGGCATGAGAACCCGAGGGTCACCAGTTCAATTCCCAGTCAAGGCACATGCCTGGGTTGCAGGTCAGGTCCCTAGCAGGGGGCGCACGGAAGGCAACCACACACTGATGTTTCTCTACCTCTTCTTCTCCCTCCCTTCCCCTCTCTCTAAAAATAGATTTTAAAAATCTCAAAGAAAAGAAAAATAACTGCAAGCATAGGAGGAAAAAAAAACCCTCTTTCATCCTTTAAGACAATTCGGGAATAAACCTCATCCAGGAAGCTTTTTTCTGATTAGCATCAATTACAAATGAAATACTGATCTCACCATAACGCCAGCCTCACCTCACGGGCACTTTCTAATTACATGTGAACACGCTGAACATCAAGACCCACACCTTTAATGGGCACCTACCTACCTGTATATTGTGACGCTCCCAACTCCGTCTCAAACGAGACTGTTCTCATTCGTTCCAGAACCTGCTTTCCACCTGCTTCCTCAGTACTTTCAGCAGGCCCAGCCACATACACCTTGAGCTCAGTGAGCTCAGTATGTGTAAAACAGACTGTACCATCACCGCCGTCCCCTTCCACGTGCTCCTCTACCATGTCTATCACAACACCCACCCATCCATCCCCTCAAACCAGAACCTCGCCTCTCAGTCTCCTCCCTCTCTCCCATCCCATTGATTTAATCATTCGGACCCTCATTCCAGAAATATGTACAAAGCATCCGTTCTGTGCCAGGCGCTGGAGCTATGTCTGGAGGCTAAAACGGAACTAGGAGAAGGAGTCACTATGGTAGACAGCCTGGCCACCAATGAGCCACTAAGTCCCTACAATTTAATAGCCTGAGAATCTCTCACGTCCATTCCCTGCTCTCCATACTCGATGTGGCTGACCAGGGCTAGAGCGCTACCCACTCCTGCCTGATCCACAATGGCCTCCAGGCTGACCGCTCCTGCTACCGTCAGCTTCACTCCGGGGCAATCTCAGAACACTCGGGTCTTTCTGAAACACACCTCTCACTTCACTGCCTTGTTTACCAAGGGTGACTACAAACTCCTCAGTTTGTTACAGGAGGCCCTTCGTGACCTGGTCCCCGCTGACCCCTCAAGCTGCTCCCCTGCACACCCTCTGGTCACACCGGTCCACTGGGGCGGGGAGAGAAGGACGTCGGGGAGGAGAGAATGTGAACACCTACCATCAAATCCTGCCAGGTTCTCTCCCACCTCAGACCTTTACGTACGCCTGCCTCTCCAGACTCCCTCATTTCTGAGTACCCTTCTGCACTGAGCTCAAGAATCACCTCTTCTGTGAGGCCCAAGGGATGTCCTCTCCCAGGTCAGCCAGACTGAAACCCATAGCTTGCACAGCAGCCTATCAATCCCTCCCGCTAGCCGTGATAAACCTGCAACACAACTGCTCACACAGTTGGGCAGTGTGTACACGAACACTGTGCAATCACTGCGGGCACTGCTCTCCGCTCTGGGTCTCCCAGGCACACGGAACAAGGCCTGGCAAACAGAAGCTACTCAATCCACGTTTGCTCAATGAACGAAATCGCTTCCTACGTATCAGGTAACTATTTCCCCAAGACGATTAACTGTTGCTTTTCTGAATGGGTTTCTAATGATCAAATGTTTTTTAGAGATGGAAAAATAATTGTATAGAATTTCAGTTCCAAAAAAACATATTAATTTTCTCACTACAAAATAAGGTATGTCCAAGAAACCAGAGTTTTCAAAACAGGTAGTCATCCAGCAGCTGACAGCGACACACACAAACCAAACACTGCGTAGAAGGAAGGGGGGCCTGCGCCAAGCATCTGTGAAGCAGGGGGCGATCTAAAAGCCCCGCGTGTGGCCTTATGTGTCCCTGCAACCTCCTGCAGCATTCTGCTCCACCCGGGCTAGTGCTTCACCACAAACGGCAGTGCCTAACCTTCCAGCCGCGCTGTCAAAACGAGACGTACATATTCCTGACTCCCATGCTTTCATTCACTCAACAACCGTCCATTGAAAAACTGGTCTACGGCATACCAGGAACCGTTCTCGGTATAACTCCCCACTCTCGTGGAGCTTATGTTCTAGAGGGGTGAGATAAATATGTGTGCAGGTCAGCTGGTGACAAGCACCAAGAAGAAACACAACACAAGGGAAAGGGAATCTGCATGCACAAAGGCCTCCAGCTTGCCCTTCACTTCTCCAGCGAAGCTCTTCTCAGTCTGGAGCAAGGATACGTTAGTCAATGGGGAAATAGTCCCCATTCACTGAGGATCTACGTGCTAGGCACTAAATATCCTAGAAATAAAAAAGGTGAATAAGTCAGAGCTGCGAACTTCAAGAAGCCCACAATCCAAACAGGCACGTGTGTTCATTTTGCAAACATTTATGTAACACTAGGTGCCAGGCACTAGACTCAGCGCCTTACAAAAATTAACTCACTTCTCATTACAGCCCCGTCAGGCTGCACAGAACGGAAACTGCGCACAGAGAGGTAAAGCAACCTGCCTGAGGTCGCACAGAAAGTTACTGGCAGGGCCGGAGCCGGAGCACAGCATGCGCTCCCAAACACCACTCTGGGGGTTATCCCACACAGTCGCTAAAAAGCAATCTCGCTGCAATAACAAAAATGTGAACACGGAGTTAAGGTGCACATAGGAGTGGGACCCAAGAGAGCAAGAAACAGCCCTAGAGGAAGAGATGCAGCGTCTTCAGAGAGGAGGGTTGCATTCTGGACCGCAACCCTGCGAATGTTACTCGTCTACCCTAGGAGACACCCTACTGTACCCTAGAAGAGAGAGCACCGTCCGCTTCGTGTGCATTCTCTGAAAGTACCGGGCACGACAGGAAGTGCTCAATAAAAATCTGTGGGGCGCACTGGTGCCCAGCACTCAGAACAGGGGTCCTCTAATGAAGAGCAAAGCAAGTCCCGTGACCTGGCCCCACCCCCAAGGTCCTCAAGTACCCAGGCCACCCAAAGTTGGCCACTGATGGCTCTGGCAACTACCCAGAGGGTCGGGTCGAGGCAGAAGAAAAACCTGCAGTCCGACTGTCGTCACCCGGTCACCCGCCCCTCACCCGTCTCCCCCCCACACTCGCCCCACCAGACCCCCATCCCCTCACTACCTCCGGGCAGGAGCAAGGAGGCCGAGGCAGGGGCGGCTTGGGTGACTGGGATGAAGGGCACATTGAAGCTGAACTCCGTTGCCGAGGATGAGAAGAGTAAATTAGTGCCCGACAAGGAGGTGGAGGCGGCGCCCCCACCGTTAGGTTTCCTTTCGGCCATGGCTGTGGCCCACCACCCGTTACACGTCTCCGGGAAGCCGGTGAGGCACCACTGGCCGGAAACCAGTCACACTCGGGGCCAACACACTTCCGCACTTGCGCACAAGGACCGGAACTCCGGATGGTCCCTGACCCTCTTCCTGCCCCTAGCTGGAGCTGCCATGAAATAATATGGCGGCGCCCGCTTCAAGCTCGAGTTTTAGCACGTGACCCCCGGCCGTGGGGGAGGCGAGACTGGAGGCGGAGGCTAAAGCTAGGGGCTGGATTGTGGGAGAGGAAGCGGTGTGGTTTCTGCATCGAGATACAAGTTAACGCTGGAAGTCCTGAATTAAAGGGGGCGCTTTTTAAAAGTACCGACAAGGGTGTAACTGGCAAACATTTTGTAGGAACAGCAGAAGCCCACAGGAGCAGGCAGCAGGGTGCAGTCCACAGGCAGAGAGGACGAGGTATAGGGGCAACAGTAGCCAAGGCCTAGCCAAACGCACCCGTATCTAACCCGCCTACATGTTTTTTCTGGGCTGAACTGAACTCGTCTTTGGCTCGGAAATAAAAATGGTAAAACTTCTGAAGTTTATAAACCATAAGGGGAAAAAATGTTTAAATAAAAGAGAAACCAGCCCTGGCTGGTGTGGCCCAGTGGATTGAGTGCAGGCCTGCGAACGAAAGGGTCACTGGTTGGATTCCCAGCCAGGGCACATGCCTGGGTTGTGGGGCAGGTCCCTTGTGGGGAAGCATGTGAGAGGCAACCACACACTGATGTTTCTCTCCCTCTCTTCCCTCCCTGCCCTTTTCCCTAAAAGTAAATAAGTAAAGTCTCTTTTAAGAAAAAGAGAGAAACCATGTAATTGAAACTTAGGGTTGTGACTTTTAAAATAGCTTTCTATAACTACAATAATCTGACTAGTTCATCCCCAAATTGCATTATGGATAATAAGGATCTAATTGTCTTTTTTTTTTTTTCATAGAAATTAGGAAAGAAAAAAATAACGGACAAGCAGTTTCTCAAAGAAGGAAATAGAAGAGACCTCAAAAGAAGCTTGGAAATTATGACACCGCCCCCTAGCTGTTCACGCCTATGGAGAACCTGTTTATTGCTTAATTCAGTAAGTATTTAGTGTTTACTGTCAAACATAAAAACAAAACCAGACACTAGGAAAAGCAATAAGGATAGATTTTTATTAAGTACTGACTATTGAAATAGGGAAGGGGGAACATTGTGAACTAAACCTCCCCAAAACAAAAGGCTTGAGACTTTTTGAACACGGTGCAAAGTCAAAGCCACTGGAGGGCGCTAAGGCGGACTGGTCCAATGGACTAGGCCACCTGAGTTTGTTCACTGAAACTTCATCTGGAGGGGCAACCAAGTTCTCTTTCCTTTATGACAGGCAGTGACACAAGTTACCGCAAGGTACACACCAAGCTGGGAGGCAACAACTCTGCAGTCCTAGAAGAGATAGTTCTGCATATTCGTATCTCAGAGGGGAGGAGAAAGGATTTATAATTGCAAGCTTTCTGAAGTAACTACTTTAGGGAGGGGTTCAGGGGACTATATGCCTATCACCAGGTTTTGGCTGGAACAGACAGTGAATTCTTCTTGCAGTGTTGAGCTTTGTCAGGCAGGCATTTTAAAGGAGACGGGTCACCCTAGGCGCATGGCCTTAAGCTGCTAGAAGCTGTGCTCAAGTTTGTCCAAGGAGAGTCCGTGTCATTACTATGCATGTGCAAGGCAGTATACTGAACACTGGGGGTACCGTCATGCAGACACAGAACGCTTCCTTCGTGGCAATTCTCTTGTCTGTCAGAAAGACAGACACTTAAACCCATAATAACAATAAACTAAAGTGTGATGAGAGTTATAGTGTAGAATTTCCCCTCAAGAGAAGGAGGTAGAATTTTTCTATGGGGAGGGATAACAAATATTTCAAACAATCAGACTGTCAACAACCTAGTCTAGAGTGACATAAAAGCCTTCTCTGACGAAGCAAAATCAAAGTTGATACCTAAAGGACAACTAGCAGAAATTACCTGGAAAAGCTTGAGGAAGAGGGCTTGGAGGGAGTGGTAAGAGACAGCTCTTAGACATACTCTGAGATGCCAATTTGGGTGTTAAGAGAAATGTAGCTTAGAGTATGGCCGGAGCCCTGTGAGCAAGTGGGAGAAAGCGGGGAGCTGAGATGAAAAGTGGGCACTTAGACATGAGCAGAGCAGGAGCGAGAGGCCAGGTACAGAAGGGAGCCAGTGCGGAGAGCCCTGGGTGCCTAGCAACAACAGACAATTACAGAGTGGGACCCCTACCCCCCGGGGTGACCCTTCCTCCCCCAGCATATCACTGTTTACGCCATTTGGACCCTCTTCTAACCTTTCCTGCCTTGGCATATGGCTAGTCCTGTGGTGGACAGGAGGGACAAATGGGCCAGACAACAGACTCCCAGACAAGCCCTCGCACAACCACTTTCCTAAGCATGAAGCCCTCCAGACGATGAGGTTCGGACCTGCATCAAATAATCTTAGAAACAAAGCCTCTGGTCTGTTGACCACAGAGAGTGAGTTTGTTTTGTTTGACATTATTTCTTGTTTTTAACTATATTTTATTGATCATGCTATTACAGTTGTCCTGATTTTTCCCCCCTTTGACATCTTCACCCAGCACGCCCCCCCATCCCTCAGGCAATCCCCCGCCACCTTGTTCCTGTCCACGGTCGTGCAGGTAAATTCTTTTGCTACTCCCTTTCCTACACTGTACTTTACATTCTCATGGCTAATCTGTAACTACCTATTAGTACTTCTTACCCCCCTCACCTCTCACTCCTTCTCCCACACGCCCCCTCCCATCTCTTTACCTTTAACCTTTGACATTTTAATTATGCTGTGCCTTGGGAGCCTCTTGTCCATCTTGTTTGGGATTCTGTGCTTCCTGGACTTGCATGTCTATTTCTTTCACCAAATTAGAGAAGTTTTCTTTCATTGTGTTTTCAAATAGATTTCCAATGTCTTGCTCTTTCTCTTCTTCTGTTACCCAATGAAGTGAATGTTGGGATGCTTCAAGTTGTCCCAAGGCTGCTTACACTGTCCTTGTTTTTTTGGATTCTCTTTTCTTCTTGCTGTTCTGATGGGTTGTTTTTGCTTCCTTATGTCCCTTACTGGTTTGATTCTCAGCTTCATCCACTTGACAGTTGTTTCCCTGTAAGTTGTTCTTTATTTCCATTAGTGTATACTTGATTTCTGACTGGATCTTTTTTACACTGTTAAGGTCCTCACTAAGTTTCTTGAGCATCCTTAACCAGTGTTTCGAGCTCTGCATCTAATAGATTGCTTATCTACATTTTGTTTAGTTCTTTTTCTGGAGTTTTGATCTGTTCTTGCATTTGGGCCATGTTTCTTTGTCTCATTTTGGCAGCCTCCCTGTCTTGGTCGTGTGACCTAATGTAGTAGGTGTCCTGTAGGGTCCAATGCCACAGCCTCCCCTATTGATAGAGGACTTAAAAGTTGGAAAATTTTAGTTAAAATGATAGCTAATAAGCTTAGTAATCAATGCATGCAAAAGCTTTTGTTCCAGGAACTGAAGGCATGACCCACCCTGACTCCAGGAGACCATAAGCAGTTCCACCTTTGTTCCTCAGAAGGACTGCAAGCAACTCAGGATGACATCTGAGCCACTGTACTCCAGGGTGAGAGATCGCTGCCCAGGACACAGCTACAGACCACCCCCAGGACAAGAACGCTGAAGTCATTTTTTTTTAATCCAATTGACTTTTTCCAGAATTTCAAAGCCCCTCACCACACCTTGTTTATTCCGTGCTATAAAAACCTTGGCCTGGAAAGAAAAGACAAGATAGTCTGTTAGGGTATGAACCCACCATGTTCTCAGATCACCAGCCATCTGAATAAAGCTCCATAGAGATTCAATCCCTGTCTCTGCTTATTGGGCTTGGTAGTGACAGGCAGCCAGAACTCCAGTGTCTTTTCCGGTTTCATTATCACCCAAGCTGGGTGCTCAAGGTGCACCCTCCTCTTGAGCCTTGGTTGCTATTGGCAGATCAATAGGAGGGATTTAACCCAGGCCATTCAGATGCAAGGATTGGCTGTGACCAATTACCACCATTTGCTCTCTGGGGAGGATCAGCAGTGCAGGGGCAGGAACAGGTGGTGGTGCTCTGACAGGGTCTGTAGTCGTCCACTGGGTGCACTGACCCCTGGGGGTTCCTGGATGGTGCACGCCAAGATCAGCCCCAACCTGTGTTTTGCTTGGGACCACACTGCCTGAGTTATAAAGAAATCTGAGGTGGCTGCTACTTGTCCTGGGCTTTAAGATTTCCAGGCGAAGCCAAGCTGTGAATCTAGGCTGCAAGTTCCAGGCCTGAGAATCACTGAGGCCTGCTGATTCTGTTTGCTGTGCCACATGAGCTAAGACCAGCCACTCATATGGAAAAGTAGCCTGGGTGTGCCCATAAATTGGATGGGGCGGAGTCTCTGGGGATCTCCAAGGCAGGCGGGTCAGACGGTGTTAGCCAAGTTGATGGAATCTTAGATATGCCACCAGTCGGCCAGTTCTGTGGGGGGAGGGCTCAGCAAAGAGACACTGGCCTCCGCTCACCTTGATGCCAGACACCTTGGCCTCTGCCTGCATACCACTGGTGCCACTCGAGCCGCCATCCCAGCGCTGGGACCCAGAGGGAGTGAGTCTGAGCACATAAATCCATGTGTGGGTTCTTTAAGACGAGCTGCTTGGGGCTCCAGAAGTTTCTTCCACTGACTCAATCCCCTCTGGTTTTTGCAGACAGCTAAGTGGAGAATTATCTTCCTGGCACTGAAACCCTGGGCTGGGGCACCTGGTGTGGGGCTGGGACTTCTCACCCCAAGATATCCTCCTGAATTTTTCTTCACCACACATAGATAAAAGCCCATTCCGCATCTGCGCCCCTCCTACCAGTCTGGATGGATGTGGTTTCTTTAATTCTATAGTTGTCAGGCTTCCATTCAACTCAATTTCTGTCAGTTCTGAGCAATGGTTGTTCTATATTTTAGTTGTAATTTTGTTGTGGTTTTACAGAGAGGTGAGCCATGTCTGCCTATGCCGCCATCTTGACCGAAAGTCCAAGACACTTTTGGTCCAACTAGAGATAACATCTAGGCTTCAGTTGTCTCGGCGCCAGGTCCAGAAAAGCAGCAAGGCCTGGCAGGGTGACGCCACGGCTGACATCAGGACCCAGTGTGATGACTAATGACCCCCTGCTCTGGTGCCAACCAATCAGTGGAGACCAGGACCCTGAAAGGACACACCTGGAGAGCTGATGAATGTTTCATTGAGATCCTCCCCTGGGACCTCCCCGAAGAGCCCCACCTTCAGAGAGGATACAAACCCTCAGGACTGAGGCCCGCGCATGTGCACTCTCTCTCGTCTCCCTCCCCCTTCCCTCCCTCCCACACCCAAACCTTTCCCCCTCCCTCCCCAGGCATCTATATCCTTGCTTACTTTCTTCTAAGTTCCAAGGGCCCCTTCTTTTGCTTCTATAACTCATTCCCTGAGCCCATACAGCCTGGCTGGCTCACTTTTTCTACCTCTTTGACTTTCTAAATAAACACTTTGTTACAGAACGGACCCAAGGTGGGGAGAGATGATATACTATTACCGAATGGACCCCCCTCCTTCTCCCGGGATCCCCCTGTAACTAGATTCTCCTTGTCCACCACCAGGGAATTATAGCTCTCAATGCCAAAGATTGGTGAAAAGGAAAGGAACTATTTATTCAAAGGCTATACAGACTTACAGTAATGAGTTAGTGTCTTCATTAAGATCCCAATGTCCCGCGCTGGCTGGCGTAGCTCAGTGGATTAAGCGCAGGCTGCGAACCAAAGTGTCACAGGTTCGATTCCCAGTCAGGGTACATGCCTGGGTTGCAGGCCATGACCCCCAGCAACCGCACATTGATGTTTCTCTCTCTCTCTTTCTCCCTCCCTTCCCTCTCTAAAAATAAAAAAATTAAAAATTAAAAAAAATCCCAATGTCCCTTAAAATACCGACAAACGCACAGTCCTTCCTTCCCCCCTTTGCCCAGTCAGGGATACTGTATCTCAGGAAAAGAAGTAGAAGTCTGTGGCTCAAGTAGCCCCAGTTCTTCCCAGTAATCCGTGCTCAGCTGGCAGGCCTCCCTCGGTTCCCAGCACCATCAGCCGTGTCGCCACCATGATCTCCAGTTAATTCAAAACCGTGTGGCACCTTCTCATGGCCCACTAGCAAGAGTCCTTTCACCCCCTTCCTTCCTGCAGCGTCTCTCCTGCATTCTTCCAAACTGCTGAGAGAGAGCTCTGCACTGCTGCTACATCTTGCTTTCCAGCTTCCTAAGCTGTGTGGCGAAGGGAGCCCCCAAACCACGTGACTCCCCCTTTCTCACCAAAAGCTACATGGTCCCAACCTAGCATGGCCACCATGCCTGGGTTTAAATCCCAGCGCCAGTCTTCCTCTGCAGCTCTATTTCCAACTCCTCCCACAGTCGGCTACACCTGCCAGCATTCCAGTACTTTTCCAGCTTTTCTGGGCTGCCATAGTAAGTCCAGGCAGGCATGGCCCCATGACATGGAGCGAATCATCTCCAAGCTTTCACACAGGCACTGCAACTGGGGGGAGTCACCTCCCAGTTACAGCCTAGGCTGAAGTCACTCCCATCTCCCTGGTTCAAAGCACAGCCACAGCTATTTAACATATCCATAAAAACAGTCAAAAGTTATAGATATGCTAAATGACCATGCCTTAGTCACAAAACTGTTGCTATGCAGAGCAACTCTCAATGACCCTGCTCCATGTGTCCCGTCCCCCAGTTCAAGACTCATGGGGGTGAGGACATCCTATGTTGGTTTTTTTTAAGATTTTATTTATTTATTTTTAGAGAGGGAAGGGAGGGAGAAAGAGAGAGTGAAAGATCAATGTGCGGTTGCTGGGGGCCGTGGCCTGCAACTCAGGCATGTGCCCTGACTGGGAATCGAACCTGCGACACTTCGGTTCACAGCCCGCGCTCAATCCACTGAGCCATGCCAGCCAGGGCTCATCCTATATTGTTTTTAATATTTCCTGGACACTGAGTTCAGGACCCCATTACAAATCCCTATTTGGGGGGTTCCCCTGGCTGTACTCTGTTACAATTTGCTCGTATTTAAGTCTTGACTCTGAATTCTTCCTTAGCCAGAGCTCAAGCATCAAGGCTGCTGAACCGAGTTTCAATCACCAGTAACTTTCTGGTGCCATTTCACCGCTAACAGATCAAGGCTAGATGATGCAGGACCTTACAGTTAAGAGGAAAAGGGAATCAAAAAAACGTGTAAAGGAAGGTGGAGAAATAATAGTATTTGCTTTGTAGGAAGTCCACTCTGACCTCAGTGAGACAGAACAGGTCAGGAAAGAGCAGCCTGGGACTGGGCCAGGAAGCCGGCCGGCTGCCGCCTGGACCAGCTGGGCCATGGTGGCGGCTCAGATCACAGGGCAGTCGCAGGAGGAGCGAGCGGAAACGGGAGTCACTCCCAGGGAAAGATATTAGATTGAACAGATGTATCTTTATTTTCTTTCTCCTGAAACTGCTGAAAACACAAATGGGTTTGTTTGGTTTTTTAAGCCTCAGTCCATAAGGACGAGGAGAATGGGAGAGGATGCTACAGCACCAACATTTGGGAAGGCATCCCGAAGTGGACGAGTACTGGCCGGCTTAGAAAGCCAATTATGGGGAAAGCTCAAAGGCAATTTTATTGGCATCGCGGAATCACTGAAAGGTTTAGGACCTGATAACCTCAGGCACCTCTGAAGTGGAAGCGAAGGGGGAGAGAGAGGTCCTATGATTAGGAGGAGTGGTTAAAACTGTTTAAGAAGCAGTCAGGTCCCCCCCCACCCCCCGACTTGAGTAACTAGAATATAAAGCACCCCCTTCTTGGAAGAAGACTGTAAATTTTCCCTTCTGGAGAGGATGAAACAAAATGAAGATGAAGCGAACACATGCACACTGAATAATAAAACTATTTCTCCCACAACCCCAGCCCAATTTCTGTACTCAGCAACAGAAACATTGTTGCCAGGTCTCCAGCCTCTAGGCGGGAGGATATTAGAAGAACGGTCTTTGGGTCATGGGAACAGAAGAGATACTGAAGTCAAGGTTGCCCAGTAAGACGGCCCAGCCAGATCACCCCATAATTAAGTTCACGACGTGCCCCAGAGCACACCGCCCGCCAGCCAGCCAGCCCAAGTACTTTGTCCGCACTTGCTCTGGACCTCTGACCTCACCGCAGCTCAAGACGAACCCCAGATGTTCCTGCCCCAGATGTTCCCGCCGGGTGGCTCCTGGACTTTCATCTGCCCTGCTCCCAAACGTGCAAACGGTGCAAAGGCGCTTCCTGCAGAAGAGACCTGCCGCCGCCGATGCTTCACATGTTGTACCAGCCTGACGCTAGGAGGGCCTGTTCCCTCATGCAAACAGAACAGCACGTACAAACCTACACGTTCTATTATTTTCTAAAATGTGTATTCATTGATTGGAGAGAGAGAGAGAGGCTGAGTCACTGCCCTGCTCACCATGCGTCCATCGGTTTGTCTCCCGGATGTGCCCTGACGGACTGGGAGTCAAACCCACAGCCCAGGCAGATCAGGACAAGGCTCCGACCGGCTGAGCTACCCAGCCAGGGCCAAACCTACATTTTAAAGTCATTTCCTACTACCCTGAGCTTGCTTGACACATTCCTGTTTCTATGAAGTATTTGTATGACAATAAACTTATGTAAACTAAACAACAAAACCCCACCAAGGCCTATTTACAGGCTCTGAGCTCCCAACCACCTTTTTAGCCTCCACATTT